TAGAATCAAATTATTTTTTATGTTAGCTGTTTTAAACTTATTTCCAGAAATTAAAATATTTTGCATATGTTGTAAAAATAAATACACAATTACAGTTTTCCATACATACAACATTAATATTATCAACTGTTTATTGTTAATTTATATGTATACATATTTAATATATGTTATGAACGTGTTATATGAATGAAAATAAATTAAGCTTTAAAATATTTTAATAAAAAATCAATCATCTTCCTTATTTTTTTTTGTTTTTGAAAAAATGTTTGCCAATGTATAAACATAAATTTATATAGTTGAACTTATACATAGTATTTAAAAAAAAATACAAAGACCACTAATAGCTAAGAGGTTAGAGCAAATTTGAAGAAATATGTAGATCTTTCCTTTCCTGTTATATTGATGTTTAAGCAAAGAAAAATAAATATAAAGAAAATTAGTGATAATGGCATTGACCTGAGGATACATCATGGTATTTACAATCATATGTACAAATGTGATGTATACACGTATATAGTATACATATAAACCTATGTACATACATTTCAATTACGAAACTTTATCGTTCATTTCTTTAAATAAAATTTTAGGGGTTTTGTTTTTGTGCCTGTTTTTATATTTTAGGTATATATACTTCTGTTCATTTTGTTTCCACGTAATTTAATACAAGATTAATACAATATGATTGTTTTTACAGTTTTAGTTTTTTCACACATTTAATAGACGTTTAATACTTATGCATGCATATTCACATGTTATGTACCTATACATAATCATAATAACGCAATGATTGCTCACTTTGGTATTTCATCTTTTTATTACAACTTAAGCCTATTTATCTTTTTTGTCTATGATGATCAACAGCTGTTTTGTTATTAGTAGTTGTAGGTATTTTCTTTGTTTATAAGGAGTGCTGATGGTAACTTAATTTAAACATTTTGACAAATATTTGTTAGGTGTTTAGATTTGACTTTCGATCAATTCGTTTAATTCCATCTGTGCCAAAACTAAAAACAAACGTTATGCACATACATACATACTTGTGTTTCAACCTTAATGTTATGAACAAATACTTGTAAACAAATGGTAATAGCACTAATATTTATAATCTTCAAGTACCTATACAATTAGGCTAATGTTTCACAGTTACCTTAATCTAATTAAAATAATACGTCGCTGATAAAATATCAAAAAGAATCTATAGAAGCACGTGAACAGAACATTATTATTATATATTTTCTTCTTTAAAACGTCATATTTTGTTTGCACACAGGTTTTTTTCTACATTGACTTAATATATACGCGCATATGAACATATACTCGTACTCGTATACTTACACATATAAAAATAAACAAATTTTTGTGTAAAAATATGGGAAACATTTTTTGGTACAGTCCCCTAAATATAGAAAGAATGTGAAATAAAAATGCCGTTAAAATAGCAAAATATGATTATTTTCATAAGAAATTAATCACGATTTATATAGAAAAGAAAAAATTGGAAAAAAGTTTCTTTTTCTACCGATTAGATTTTTTAAGATCGTATACACACACGCACATGCAATAATTAAACCAACCGGCATTAATAAAACCGGCAACTTTACTACACATGCTCACGCATACATATGAATTATATGTTACCGGTATATTTTTATATTCAATAATTTATCGTGGCGTTCAAAAACTTATAGGTCCTGAAATTTACATACATAAGCGTTTATGTTTAGCGCCTCATTTGCACTTTGATTGTATGAATTGTAATAACGATAAAATCTGCTACTCTTGCATTTCAGTTTTGATCTAATGGACCAAATAAAGTTTCTGTTTCTCTTAAAGTTTTGAATTTTAATCTTGTTTGTTAGGAAAACGAACCTGTTTTGTTTGGCAGCAGGACATTCATTAGAAAAATTTGTTTGGGAAAAATAGTTTATCAATTTTCTCCAAATTTTGTATTTCAGATTAATTTATTGGGAAAGAAGAATTAAAACTTCTTGGGGAAATAGGACCGCAGAAACCAAATGAATGACTAAGTAATTTTCTTGAAATCAAAACAAAATTTATATAACATTTTGCAATATCTTAGGAACTCTTTCACTAGTTTAACGCACGTTCATTATATATGTACATATATGTATACAGTGTATATGAATTTTATTTACATAAATCTAAAAATTTAAAATATTCTTCGTTAACACTAGACTTTTAAAGAAAAATAATTTAAAATAAATAAAAGGTTTCTTCTATTTTTAGTGCCATTTACTCATTTACATTATATTTAATTTTTATGCTCTCCTCATTTTTAAATAATGTCCAGGTTAGATAAACATTGTGTGGTCACGACAGCAATTCTTATGTATATATACTAAATGTATGTGTTAATTGACGAGAATATTTTAATTCATTTAAATATTGAGGAGCTTTGAATCTTTATATATTTTTGCTTATAACAAAAAATTTTTATTTCGGTTTTTTGTGTCTTCTTGTAGTGTGTTATTAAGACTGGATGATTAAGAGTTTTAAAATTTATGAAGAAAAAATTAAATGTGTCAATAACTTCAGAATTTATGACTTAAATGTGCTTATAAAAACGTTCTTGAGTATATACTTACATATGTATATAAACATGTGGGTTTTGTGTGAAAAAATGTACATAATGTACGTATAAATATAAAGGCACATTATAGAAAATGCTAAATGGGATTATTTTAGAAATAAGAAAATTAGCGACAAGACAAAATCAAAATATAATCACATGCATACATAAGTACATATGGTTATAATTAGCTGCTGTATATTTATGCAATCATTAAATTGTTTTTTATAAAGGTGGTAACTAAATTATCTAAAAAAGACAGTACCTACTAATATACATCTTATATTTTGTATATGCACATTTCGCCTTAAAAAATACCGCGTCTATTTAAAGGAAAAACAGGTTGTAAATAAAAATTGTTAAAAAAATGGACAAACATGCAATATAAATACAATCCTTCTAAATTAAGTTTTTTTTCTTAATTATTATGCATAATACGAGTAATGCTTGTTTTTTGATTCTTTTTTAAATTAAAATTTTGCAAATAAACAACATTTTAGTCGCAAAAATTTAAAAGCTCTTTTTCTACTTTAAATAACCCTTATAAAATAATTAGATTTGTTGTTGCTTTAATGTCAAAGCCATTCAAAAAAAAACATAATAATTTAATTTTTAATTATAAAAATAATAAGGAATTTTCGCCAAAAATAAAAATCTTCACCTGTTGGTAAAATATTATCGTCTTGTATTTTCAGAAGTATACTCGTATATACATGTACATGATTGCATTATTTCTTAAATGTTTTGTAAAAAACTGCAAAGTGCAAAAGAGACATAAAAATTAATATTTTATTTATAGGTACCTACATAATATAAAATTATTATTGAATGTTATTTATATTCTACTAAACTATATGGAGTTCTACAAGTTTGAAGATATAAGAAAATATTTTATAAAGATTCAAGTATTGAAATTATTAATGTAATAAAAAATTATTATTAAACATGTCCAAACAACAGACTGGTGAATAATGGAAAACAGAATGCAAAAGTAATAATGAAACAAATTAGTAATTGTGTCTTTTAATTAAATTGATCACAGTTATTATAATGTTGTCGTAAATAAAGTCTACAACTAATTCATTTGTATTTAGGCATGAGAATCAGGAATTCGGGATATGGCAGTTGTTCTTTTCGGAATTTAAGACTATTTTTATTTATTACACTTTTAAACACTTTTATTTTTTTATTTTATTTTTTATTATATTTTTATAATTGAAAATTTAAAAGCAAACTCCCTGGCTTAAAAATTTCAGTTATACTGCAATTTTGAAGACACATATTCGTTTATTAACACATTTCGTAGGCATACGCAAATTTACATAAATTAAAATATTTATTTAACTTATTATTATATTAAATAGTTTATAAAAAATAGAAGTTTCATAGACACGTACATATGTACATATGTACGTGTCTCAGTGTGTTTTTATGTATTTGCACTACATACTTCAATCTAAATAACTAAAAATATATATTACCGATAATTAAGAAAAGAAAAACGTACTTAAAGAAGACTGTAATTTTTTTGTATTTCAATATTTCTGCTTATTATCAAAAAGTCTTAATAATACACTCATTCATACAAAACATGCATAAGTATATAACAACAATTCTTTGCTTAAACACAAGAACTAAAGTAAAAATAGGAAAAAAATTAACTAAAATTTACTACAAATTTTTTCTTGCATTCTTAACATTTCAATTCATAAATTTTTTACTTCTCTTATCTCCTTTTTATTGTTCTATATAACTTCTATAATATTAAAGTCCTAGAATTAAAAAAAGCAAAATAAGAAAAGTACAAAATTTTTTAAACTAGGTACATTAAAGTCAAAACGAAAATTAAAAAAATTCCTACCTGTAAAAAGAGAAGATATTTGTATCATCCCGTCATATTGCGCTAGCTACATACATATACTTACATATTTTTATTTATAAGATTTATTATACTGAAAAAAAGAATGTATATAGTTATCCTCGGTTCTCTCACAGGTGTAAATGCAACAGGAATTTTACGTTGCCCATGTAGTTATGCTTGTTCAACATACATAATAAAATAATTTTATAAATGTCTACGTTTTCGAATAAAAAAGTTCAAAGAAAGAATCAAGAATAACGAATATACGTTTAGTTGTTCTTTGCTCTTTCGTCTGGCGTGACATTGGTAACTTTTGAACAATATTAAAGAAACAAAAGATAAACGTGAAAAAACGCAGCATAAAATTTTACTTGTGAAATAAAAAAAAAATTATTGTAGATTTTCTTTAAAAAAATCTATACATAATTTATTATTTTTTTTTCTTTTTTAAATTTTTATATACAATTAAAGTGTATAAATAATTTTAATTGCAAAATACATACATACATAAAAAACAATTTATTTTTATATAATGATCTTAAACAGTATTAGTGAAACTAACAATAAAATTGAAATTGAAATTAATAAAAGTATTATGTGTAATACAACAGCATTATCTACAATTCGAACGGATATAATTCGTAATAATAATTTGAATAATATAAATAATAATATTAATCATAATAATGTAGCGAGCATAAATTCAGAACATATTGCTGTTGATGTAATTGAAAGCGCGCCAACAATTATGGTGAAGCCATCAGCACAAAAAACAAAAAATGAAAATAATAATATGCGTGATATTATAGAGAAAGCAATTAAAATTCAAGAAAATGTCGATGATAGTAATGATATTAAAACAACAAATATAAATGAAAAATGTACTACAGGAGGACTTATAACATCTCCTTATAAAGGAGTTACAATAAATACAAAAGGTATATACATAATATATTATGCTGAAACAATAAAAAAAACAAGAAAAATAAATGTATATACATATCCGTGTATATATGTATATACATATGTATATTATATATACATATATAAAATATTTAAACTTATGATATCTTCGTTAATTTTTTTATTCCTTTTTGTTTTTAATAATGTCTCCTTCTCTGTGCATTGATCTACCCTTGCAATAATTATAATATTTAGCTTTAAGTACTTTATATACTTAAATGTCTATGATAACAGAAGGAATAGTAAATAAAATAAAATTTTGTTAAAATTAAAAAGTATTAATTAATTAATACTAGTTTCTATTTATGCATATTTATACAAAAGGTTAAAATTGTACAGCTCTCTTTTTAAATTAAATATTAAATTAATACTTTTATTTCCTTCAAATTATGTTTACCTATCCTACATGATGTATACATATATACAATAGGTCGTTAGAAAGTTGAAATACTATATGGTACAAAAATGAAGGAAGGACTTATTATTATAATACAAAATTATAATTTTTATGTTCATATGTATAGTTATAAATATTTTTATATGTAAATGTGTACATAAAACCATAAAGACAACGTAATATCTACAACAGACAACAGAATATATTTATAGGAACTATACATAAAATTTACTTTTGAATTATTTATTAATTTTTCTAAATATAACTATCTATACACCTATCCATATTATGCTTTTGTATATATGTATGTGTTCAAATATAATATATACATGTGAATAATGTATATATTATATTATGTTCATAATATTGCTGTATTAAAACATGCGACTGTACGTAAATATAAATAAATAATTATATTATACATATAAATTTTATAGTTTTAATTTATATGAGTTGTAATTCTTATAAAATTCAAGCACTAATTATGTTTTTTTAAATAATTTCAATGATTATTGTCCTGTTCTTGTGATATAAAAATGCTCATTAAAATTTTTATTACTACAAATTTCTTACTCAACTCTTTCTTTTTTGTTTATTTTCTTTAATGTTAAATATAAATTTAACGCGAACATAGGTGTATTTTCATGTGTTACAATTTATATTTAATTGTATACAATTAAATAGAGAAGCACGTTTTCGCGTTTGTGTCACTTTGATTTTTAAATTATATAGAAAAAAAAATTATTTTTCTTTAATATTATGCCAGTCTGCTTTGGAAAGAAAAAATTTTATTCAATCCTTTTTAGCACTTTTTCAAAAAATTTTCGAAAAAAAGTGCTTATTAGTTTCACTCTTTCCGTCCATCCGTCCGTCCGTCCGTAGACACTTTTTGTGTTTACAAAACCTCTACACCCTTGAAGATAGAAAGCTGAAATACGTACATAGATCTTTACTAGAAACTTATTTCCGTAGAACAAAATTTTTACCTATCTCCCACCCCCCCCCCTTAAGTTATACTACACCAAAACCCTAAAAATGGCCTTTTTTTAACTATTTGTTGTAATGAAACCAAAGGCATTTTTGAAATTTTGCAAACGCAGAAAAACAGTGGCTTGCTTCCTCTAGCGCAGTATACTTTAGTTAAACTTTAGAAAAATAAAATGGCCGTTCAAATTTACCGTTATCTAAAGTCCTTTTTTTCCAAATTTTTTATGTCATTTTTCTTCTAGATCCCAGCCTGTAGAAGCCTGAAATTTTAGGAGCTTTTAGACATTAACAAATAGTTCATTTTGCTGAAGAAAATTTTTTTCCATCTCCACCCCCTCTCAAGTTATCGCCTCTTGAAATTTGTAAAATTTGATTTTTTGACACCTTATATTTCCGAAACCGCAAGTTTTTTCAAATTTCTATAAACGCAAAGAGCTAACGGTAAATTCCATGACATTAAAAAATATAATTATTTTTCTTAACTCACACAATCAAACTTTAAAATCGAGCATTATGTTAACCCCACTTTATATTAATTTTTGCTTTATTTCAAAGACTGCATATATGCATCATCCTAAATATATGCAATCCTAGAAATAGTTTTGTATATGAATGAAAATAATTTTAATAGTATGATAGGTGTACATAGACTGTATTTAAAAGCAGAATTTTCACTTGTTGAAGGGAAAAGTACAGTACAAACAATTGATTTGACCCAACTTTATTTGATTAGGGTTCATTTAGTTATTTGCACATGTACTTTAATATGCGCTATACATATTATACAAGTAAATGGAGTTTTATTTAAAATTTCGTTTTGCAGTTTATATTTTGAAAATCCCAAAATTAATATAATAAGCAGCAAAATATAGTTATACATGTAATTTAATTAAGCACATTTTATTTCATTAAGTCAAAAGGTATTTTTATGTTTTTATTTATTTTTTATTAACCTCACAGATAAGTCACAAGGACATATTCAATATATTCCGTTTTTAATAAATATCCTTTTTTATGAAAGTTGTGACTCAAATAGCAACAAAAAACAAAAATAAACATTAGAAAGTTGAAATTAAATACTGATTTTGGTAGTTCTAAGGTTAGTAAGTAGCTAAATTCGTAATTTGTTGCATTCTACGAGTGGAATTCATGATAGGGCTGATTACCACCGTAGGTCAAATAATTTTTATTGGTGATAAAATTTTAAAACTACATCGTTTTATCGTTTACACATTAATCATTATTTATGAATTCTGTTTAAATTGTTGAAAATTTGATTAAATTGGATATGTAAACGTCTGCAAATCCATTTTGGTAAAAAAAATTTAAAAACGTCATGCAGTTCTAATCAAGAAATTCAATGAACAGTGTTTGATATGTAAATGCTGAGTAATAATGAGCTTATTAAAAATTTTTGCTTAAAAAATTGTATGCTTCTTCAGTGGAATTGATTATAAATTAAAATTATTTATATTTATATACGAGTATTTGACAACAATATCTTTTTATAGGATATAATATGTATAGCATTCTCAATATATGTATATAGCATTTTTAAATTCTAATACATACTTACTTTTAATTTACAATTATGTCTTGCCTGTTAATAGCAATATTTAATTCATTAAATATAACAGTATAACTTTTTATTTTAACAATCACACATAATTCGCATTCAGTTTTTATTTAAAAACTAAATGAAAAATAAATATCATTTTGTTGACAAAATTTGTTTATACCAGAATTTATTTTAGCTACTTTTGTATCTATATATGTATGCATGTATTTATGGTTAAGTGGGAAAAACAATTAAAGTACATAAAATAAGAATCCGTATATACTAACATACGTACATATATAAGTGATATCAATATTGTATGCACATCTAAATATAACAGTCGTTTTATTAAACAACTGTTCTAATTTAACAGTTTAAAAAGAAAATTATATGTTCCTCTGTGCAGTGCATACATTTAGAGAATTGTAGAGAATAAATTCTAATATTAAAATCTTGATGTTATTTAGATAGTAATGTTTAACGAACTCCATTAAATAAAATTTCTATAAATTGAAGCTTTTCATGAGAATATTATACTTATATAAAAGGAGCCTTTCATCAGATTTGAGTTACGAGCGTTGAATTCTTTTAAACGATTTTAACATAAGATTTTAACATAAGATCATGTTTATACCCGTACGAATGTATGTTCGAAGGGTATACTAAATTTGCTTTACCGTTCGTAACGCTTAGAAATAATGGTTTGAGATATACACTCAAGTGTATATTTTTGATCAGCGCCGAATTTTGAGTTGATTAAGCTTTGTCTGTCCGTCCGTGCGTCCGCTTCGGGGATTGGTTCGGGGAGCTAGCATACAACTTCAAAATTTATTTGATTATATCTTAGAAACTAAAAAAGCTATGGTGTTGAAATTTGAAACAAGAAAGTATATTAGTAGGATCAATGTGTTTGATGAAAGTTGTTGAAATTGCTTGGGTCTTTAAGGGAGCTGTCATACAACTTCAAAAGCAGTTTGGCCATATCTTAGAAAATATTGAACACACAGTACTGAATTTTGCATAAACTAATATAGTAATATGACAACTTAAAGTCATAGTCTGTCCCATAGTCATCTATGGCATATTTAGGATAACAAATTCGTATGGGTATCAACACGGTCAACTCTATTTTTGCTCTTTTTATTATGTATACAATATTACGTAGTATGATAAGCTGAAATAATATCCAATAAACTCATTTAATTATTATATGTAACTATATATATATACATATTAAAGAGGGTTTAAAAAAAAGTCAGCTTACTGAAATTTGACTCAAAAGACATACATATATTTTATATTTTATTTAATTACATGTTATATTGTCTTTTAATTGAACTAAATATTTTTAATTATTTCTTAATATTTTTAGCATTTTATTATCGGAGTTTAGAAGATATAGAAATCGATTTTATTTGCTTTGTTTTTACTATAATGCGAATTCAAAATATTTATCTGCGATTTATTATTTTCGCATAAAACAGTAATAAAAGTATAAAATATCATATTCTATATAAAATATTTACATATTTTTTATGTGATCCTAACTTCGTCCAATTCTTTTAATATTAAATTTTATAATTTACAAATAATCTGATTCAGGTGTAAGATTAATAACAGTGGTTAATTAAAGTATATATGAACTTTAGTAATGTATATATACATACTTGTATACATTATTTATTTTTAAAATAAATTATTATTGTGCAAATTCATGCTTTTGCTTTGAAAACGCGCACAATTTATCTTAAATAAAAGAAATATTTCAAATTAGAAATCACATAAGAAATTAAACTCTAACTGTAAAAGCGCAAAAAAAGAGTGATAGAAAAACTTGATAAAAGCTTTGATTTCATAATATAATAGTTAATTTGATCTCACATCTATTATACAAACATAATCATTATAGAGCTTTCCAATTGTTATACATAAATTTTAATTTTTTTTTTAAATTTCCGAACATCTTTTAGCGAAATCATTTTTCTCCTAATTTTTTATAGATATTTTTTCTTTTTTTATTTGAAATGAATACAAAGTAAGGTTCAAAAAACTTGCCATATATTTCTTTTTGTAAAAAAAAAAATGTGCAAAAATATTTAATTTTTTACTTGCAGAAATGGAAATTATTCCCCAAGGAAAGCATTTTCGATTGGTCGATGATTCCGAGCTTCCAGAAATAATGAATATTTTAGGTCGATATCTTCCTGAATCCCTAAAGGTAAAATTCAAGAAAAACAAAAAAAAAAACAAAAATTAAAAACAAATTTTCTTTAATTTGTAATAAAGGGTTTTGTTATCATTCCGGTTGACTTTTACCAAAAGCTTTCACTCTGGTACATTTGATTTTGTAAACAAAAATTCTTACCTTTGTGACTTTGGCTACTAAATTAATATGCATCATGGTAAAATTCAAAAGACTCTTTAAAATGTTAAAGAGCACTAATTATAATGACAGGGTGTAATGACCTTATAGTTATGTGCTTTTATGTCTCGTTTGTTTTTCTTATCTGTATTGATTCATTCGTTATTTTGTATTTTCAAAATTTTTTAATTTCAAAATCTTTTTATCTTAAATATTTTAAAAGCGTATTCCTTTTGCTTTTGAAAAAAGCTGACGTACGTAATATATATGCCAGTAAAAACTTATAATTAGATGTTTGAAATTGGACGTTGTATTTACTAATATATAAATATATTTTTATGTTTTATTATTTCAATTAAAAGGAGAACTTAGATATATTTAAGCTCTTTGTCCATATTTATTATATTACAAAATGAGTAAGCTGACTTCAACAAACCCAATATTTCTCTTCCAAACTTGGGACATCTTTCACTTTAGTTCAAATAATATTTTTATACTAATAATAAAATGATAATCATGGCTTATTACTAAATGTAATTAAAATATTTAGTAAAGTTCATCATCGTTTTCGGAACTTTTGAGAATCTCTGATATGAAACATTATCATGTAGCACGATACTGTTATATGTATTATAGTTCCTATTGCATATAACTTTTTTAATATAACCTTAATTTCTTATAAAAACGAAATTGATCTATTATTGCTTGTTCGATTTATTAGAATTGTAGAAGAAAATTATGGCTAAGTGTAATACAAAAAATTTAGAATAAGTTGTACTTTCCTATTCATGTATCAATTAAGTAATAAAAATGTGTTTTTTTTTTCTATAAAAGAAATGAAGTTAAATTCAACCAAATATTTTGAACATTCTTTTCTGTTTTTCAACATTCCTCTTTGAGAATAAAACATATTTATTTATATTTAAATGGATAGAAAACAATTTTGAATAGGTAACATACATATATATATATATATATATATATATAACAACTTAATATTTTAAGTTTTAACATCTGCAAACTATAGGAAAAACAGTTTAGTTTGTTAATACCAAAAAAATAAAATAAATATACTTATTTCAATAATTATTTTTATCTCAATACATTATTTGATTTAATTTTTAATTCAATTCATATTTCAGTTTCATGAAACAATCAAGACGTACCTGAACGACCGAGTATGGCAGTTTTACTTTTATGTTTCTAATAAATGGCCTGAAGAACCAATATGCTTACATTTCCCTGGTTGCACGCTTACGGTAAATTTAAAAAGTAATTTTAACATATCTCCACAACTTATAACATATTTATTATAGCCCAACAACAATATATACGAAAGCATTGCGATATTCTGTCCTACTAGTCATATACAATGCATAGATTTACTTGAAGATGAAAATTTAATCGATTGGAAAAAACCATTGTACCTGAACTATACTCATAAAGAAATTATGGAACGCGTTGATCTTTTCTATAAAAAAAAAGGAACAATGGATTTATTGGGTGGAGACATATATGTATTTAAAAATATAAATAGCATAAGTACAGAAGAGTAAGTATATCATATTAGCAAGAGCGAGCGATTTTAATTTTCAGTAATATAAATTGCAATCATGTATATTGGATTACTTGCATCAATATATTGATTGTGTATCAATGCATTAATTGCGCATTAATATATTGATTATATAACGATTCAATTAAATTACTATTTTTCCCAACTATTAATAATACTAATCTTGGATTTATTTTTTGATTAAAATTATCCGCTTTTCAATTAAATGTTGAAATTAGTATAAATTAAAAAATTTAATGCTATAAATCCGAGACCGACTTACCCAATCTTAATTTCACAGGCAATTTACCTTGCATATTGTCGTCAACCGAAATAATTTACTTTAAACACTATTAAAAATATTTTAATGCAAATTATATTGGCTCTATACTTTACTAATATATTTATTATTAATCTATTTATGAAAAAATAGTCTTCCTTCCAACGAAGTGGAAATGAGAGCATTAACAGTAGATAATGTAAAAACTATACATGATTTGTATCCAGCCAGTGAAATTGAATGTGTAGAAGTTTTTGAAAAACTCGTACAGACCCTTCCTGGTGTTGGAATATTTGTAAAAAATACTGATGAATTAGTTGCATGGATGGTACATTCATATTATGGTGCAATGTTTTCAATGCAAACAAAACCCGAATTTCGGCGTAAAGGGTAAGACAATTATCAAATAATTATTATTGAAATCGAAAAATCTTAAATACCTGGACAAATAAACATTTTTAGTTATTTATATTTTTGTTTAAAATTTGAATTGAATAAAAAGTGAAAGAAATTTAACATCTTAGTTTTTTAATCTTACTTGATTAGCAGTTTCAATTAATTAGCAAGTAAAGCTTTAAGGAAGATTTTAGAGCACATTTACAGCCTGAACGTTTATCTCGTTTTTTTATTCACATTTTATTTACTTTCAAATCAGAATTCTTAGTTTTTTCTAATGGATATTTTACTTTTCCAATAAGATTACTCATTTTTTCAATTGGATTTATACGTTTTTTCTAAAATTATGAACTGAACGTGTCACTTTCAAAAATAAAGCGAATAAATTTTGTATAATACAAGTAGTTATCCGAGTAAAAAAGCGAGATAAACGATCAGGCCTTTAATTTTTGTTTGTTTAAGAGGATTTTAGTTTTACTGCATATAAGTACATAAATGTTGTTAGTTATTATTTCCCTAAATACGTAATTCATTAAGAATGCAGAAATAATATATATTTTAAAGTATCAAAAAATTTGATTTTAAAGTAACTATTTTCTTTTATATCTACTTTAAGTTATGGAATTCATTTGGCACGAAGCTTAACACAACTTGTAATTAAGAGAGGTTATTCGCCCTTTGTGATTATAAGACCAGAAAATGATGCTTCCAGAAATTTATATATCAAATTAGGTTTTGAGAAAGTATACGAAACCGTACGAGCAAAATTAAATCCATTTATAGTTGCTGATAATGGTGATGATGGTGATGGTGAACATAATTGTAAAAATAATAGGGACCTTAAGAATGATGATAATATTAATGAAATATTTGAAAAAAAATGTAAAGTGAATGAAGAATAAAAACGACCTTCTTTTGCTTTTAAATGTCGTTTTTAGAATGCGAAAGATGCCTTTTTTGAAAATATTATAAAAAAATCACGTAATTTAAATTATAAAATAAAAAAAAATAAAAAAAAAACTGGTTATCATTTCCGCAAAAGTTGAATAAAAATTACAAAGAAAAAACATAAAAAATACATTAATTAATTAATCTATATTATAGATAAACAGTAAAATAAATGAGAACATTTTTTGTTCTTTAAACTTTACATTGGAATTTGTTTTTAAATTGAAAATATATACATATATTATACTGAAAGTAGGATATGTACTGTGTCTATTTACTTGGCAGATGTAACAGAAGTAGAAGATGCGAAAATTCAAAATTTATTCCTGATGAAAGTTCAATATTTTTGTCTAGTTTATAGAATTCGGATATAAAATTAAATGCTAAACTATGTGAACATTTTACAAATTTATGAATATGATAATACCCATAAAAAAATATATATTTTAATACTTTTTAATTTTATTTCTGTAAAATTCAATTTAAATATGTGTTTTAAAATAGTTCAAACTAAATAATTGTGAAAATAATTTTTTTATTATTGAAACTTTTAAATTATAACTATGGCTTTAATAACAATGTCATCAATACCAAATTTGAAGGGAGATAAAATGATCTATTTTCGCAATTAATTTTTTAAAGTTTAATATTTTTTTAACTTATTTTGAATGTGATACTTCGCTATAGTATTGAAAGATTTTATTAAAAAATGTATTTCTAATCAATGAAAATTTTATAATGTCCTTTGAAATTATTTCAACTTTCAATAATTAAATGATGAAGTTCTGTGAAGTTTCGCCTGTTCTATTATGTTACAGTTGTCGTTTAAGAAAATACACTATACATATCATATTTTTATTATATTTGATATAAAACAATTATAAATTAAAACATAAAAATTAAATGAAAAAAAAAAAAACACTTTTGTAGCTTTGCAATTTCGTGATAAATTTATTTTTGTAGATTCCTTTTAAATCGTTTTTGGACAATTATTAATTAAAATGAAAAAAATCTTTTATTTTATTACATTTTCTAATAATTATAAACAAATATCTTTAAGCTAAATAAATATTATGCTAGCAAATTGACTTCTCTTTATTATTATCAACACGCTTACTACATATATTTTTAAAATGTGGAATGGAAGTTTTGTTTTTAAATTGCGCCTATTAATAGATTTAAGAAGATGAATATAAATAATTCTTCAACAGTTTAACTTGTTGTTGTCAGAATTTCAAAAGAAAATTAGCCATGCTTATGGAGAAATTGGCTAGCAATATTTGATTATTTGGTGGCAAATGATTTCGGGAATGATTCTTTGATCAATTTCCAGCAAAAAATTGAAGGGGAGGGGCTGCAAGTATAACTGAGAGTCACTTCCCACAAAAATGTCATTCGGCCCTTTAAAGTTAAACGGCTGAATGGTATTTTTGTGGGAAGTGGGAAATTTTCAACAATATACTCAATCGACTTTAATTAAAATGTTAAAAAAATTGGAATACTATGTGGTCTATTGAAAAATGTCTTTACAAACATTTTTCATCCGATGGCGTTCACGAATTTTCCTAAGTTTGTTTATTTGACACTTTAACTAACTAATTGATTAACTTGACTACAAAAAGATAGGTGGCGGCTTTTGAAATAGCAGAAAATGGTATGTGTACATAATTTCGTTAGCCAAGTCAACAAATTTTTAAATATTGCAAAAAAAGTTTCAACTGAAAAAATTTTTCTAGAATAATTTATCAATATTGTTTTTGGGTCTAACTGAGAAACAATTGTTTTTAGGTCTAACTGAGAAACAAAATCGGAACCAAAATGCAAAAAATCGCACAAATTTTAAAATCGGAGCCAAACGATTATTGAACATTTCGAAAGTCTTATCTAGTAGTACTTTTGGTCAATAACAAAGAATTAGAATTAACTACACGCAACATTATAGTGACAGGCTCGTTCCTGTGATAATTAGTTCCATTGCAGCGAAAATTAAACAACTTAACTGACGTTAGACTCCTTACATTATCCTTGAAGAAAGCTCGCCCTAAGAATGAATTTTGCGATATAGGACACAATCGTAGTGACTGCAAGTCGATTAAGATATGAGTTAAACCTATATGGATAACGCCAAGCAAATGCCCTAAAAGCAAACAGTTAAAACGTTTTTGGAACAGTATCAATCCACGAAACAGTCATGGGATAATAGGGCGTTTGAACCTGACAAGCAAATTACAAAACCGACCTTGTGATTGAAAGAAGATATATACAAATGGGATCATTTGCATATTGTAATTAATTCCGCACTATTATTACATATTACATGACAATTTCCTGCTATTTCGACTTCAACTTTCAGCTCATTGTTCCTTCAATTAGTGTTATTCTTTTATTGTTATTCTATTACTATAGAGAATTTCGTGAATTGTGAAAAAGCAAAAACACTATTAGATATTTTTTAATAACAAAAAAATTGTGAACAAACCAAAAAGGAACATAATTGTGAATATGGGGAATTTGTAATGTTGATTGAGATTGAAAATTGTTGATGGAAAGTTTAAATGATTCCTAGTATATCAATAAAATAAATGTATCGAAGCTAACTCAACACATATTTTATTGACATTTCATTTTTCTGTTTTTAACAAAAAATAAAAGTAAAAAAATTTTGAGTGAAAATGTTATGTACTTTATAATAAATATTAATATTATTAAGTTGGTGAAATAATCAAAAAGAAATTATATAAAAGTCTATTAGCACGAAGAAAATATTTGTCATAATATAATTTTATGGGAGATTAATAGAAAAGGTAATCTAGGAAAGGATTAATAGTGTGCAGTGGCCTAAGTCAAATTGTTATCATAAAATTTTTAAAAGAGACTTTTTTATAAATCTTTAAAAAAAATAATTAAATACTTAAGTTGAAATATTCAACAGAGTAAATAACCTTTATGTTCTTGCATTCGATCTAGATCCAAAGATAAATTTCTTGCTTGTATTTTCAAATTTTCATGTAATTTCTTTTTATCTGAAGAAATCGATAGGGGAGGGAACCACTTAACCCTCGATGAATGAGTTTACTGAAAAAAATGTATTTAAGAAGATTTGGAATCTTTATGTATTTAAAAAAAACTTGTGTTGTATTATATTTAAAATATTGAATACTTTTGTATAGAATATTTGTTTAAAATCATTCCTTGAGTCTAATTTCACAAAATTGTTAAAAATTTAATACACCAGTTGGGTGGAGTAGTAGAGGGTGGTTGAAAATTATTTTGTATGAATAATTTTCTACTACATTACTATTGCATTTACGCAAATCCTTAAATCATTGAGGTTTTATCACGAAAAGAAATAAAAGAGTCATTTTTATGAATACTTATGATTTTATTAGTTTTACCAACCCACATACATATGTACTAGCTGATTAATTAAGAGAATGAAAAATTTTCTTTCTGAAATTCATAGAAATTGTTGAGAATTGGTCTTTTATTTAGTTTTGTAAATAGTTTGTGAAAGAAATTCTAATATTAATTTTGAACATTATAGCAACTGTGAATTTCTAAGTTTTTACTGTCGTAAAATAGTATACATAATAAATTGAAAATTTTTTCATATAACCACTCTTTTTGTTAACTTGTCAAAAGTTATTCATTGTTTCAAAAAAATATTAATGATGATGTTTTTAGATTTATACTCTTAATTTCAGATATGAATTCATCAGCTGATGTTTGGGTTATCACCCCAAAAGAAAAGGAAAAATATGTTCAACAATTTAACGCTCTTAAACCGCAAAATGGAATCGTTACGGGGGGTCAAGCGAAGGGCTTTTTCCTTCAATCGCAACTACCACCAATTGTTCTTGGTCAAATATGGTAAAAAACTATAAATAAACATAGGTTTATATTTATATTCTAATATAATATATAGACATATGTACAATAAAAATGATTGCGTTCATTTGTATGTCCATATTGTAACATATACGAATATTATATGCATTATTATTAAAGTTAAAAAAAATTTATTTAGGGCTTTGGCCGATACAGATTCTGACGGAAAAATGGATATTAATGAGTTCAGTCTGGCCTGTAAGTTAATTCATTTAAAACTGCGAGGATTTGATATTCCCCAAACATTGCCACCATCATTATTAGCTTCATTACAACCTGGAACAATTCAGACAACGTCGCCACCCAATGCTATGAGACCTATAAGTACTGTTAAACCAGTTGTAAATGAGCTTCCACAAAGTGTTGTTTTGCCTAAGCCACCAATAGGTGTAGTTCCATATGTTGCACCTCCAGCACCTATTTCACAAGTAGGAAATATGCCAGTTGCATCAATGGCGCCCCACGGCGTTCCAATGACAGCTCCTGCAGTAAGTGTACCCATTGCTGGAACCGTACCAATCACAACCAAACCTGCAGCTGTCAGTGTCTTGCCATATGCAGTGCAAGCTGGGGCAATCCCTACAACTGCTGTTCCAGTAGCAGCTGTCTCTGGGACTATAATGCAAGGAAATGGCGCTCCGGTAGCAGGAATAGTTCCAAATGTTGCTACTGCGGCTCCAAATGGGAGTTCAGTTCAAATGGTTCAATTGCAAATGGGAGCCATTGCGCAAGGTATTGCTTTTTGTTAAAATATACGATGAACGAATTTTGTTAAAATATAACTCAAATTTCCTAAAATAAATGTATTTTAGGAGTACCACCAATTAATGGAAATTATGTTCAATCAATACCAAATAATCAAATAAACGAGGTTGTGGCAACCCAGAATATTGCGCCTGTATTAAGCACTGAACCAAAAAAAACCGAGGATGTAGTTTCTCCAATCCCAATAAGCTCGCCACCCAGTCAAATCGTAGCTTCTGATAGGTATTTTTGATTATTTTTTGGTTTAATTTTTATTGGTAATAAATTAAAAATTTTAGTGGTGAATGGGGCATTAAAGGATCGGTAAAATTAAAGTACACACAAGTTTTTAATACAGCTGATAGAAATCGAACTGGTTATCTAACTGGTGCACAAGCTCGAAACATTTTGGTCCAAAGTAAACTTCCACAATCTATTCTTGCGCAAGTTTGGGCTCTATCAGATTTAGATTCGGATGGTAAATTGAGTTGCGATGAATTTGTATTAGCTATGTATTTGTGTGACAGAGCAATAGCGGGTGAAAAAATTCCCATTGAATTGCCAATAGATTTAATACCACCGACATTTAGAAAAATACGTTCAAGACACAGTTCTATATCTAAAACACCACAAAGTTCATTACCTGCATCACGGCATGCATCCATTTCATCTCAGGGTGGTATAAGTGATATTGACCCAGCGGCTGGCTTACCGCAGAGTAATTTGATAATAGTTTTATTTTTAAAATTTTTTGTAACTCTATTGAAAACATTTTAGCTTCGTTTGAGGACAAAAGAAAAGAAAACTTCGACAAAGGGCAAGCTGAATTAGAAAGAAGGCGCAAATTGTTGCAAGAACAGCAGAAAAAGGAACAAGAGGAACGTGAAAGAAAAGAACGGGAAGAAGCGGAAAAAAAAGAGAAAGCTCGCCTCGAAATGGAGAAAAAAATGCAAGAGGAACTAGAAGAGCAAATGAGAATTCAACGAGAAAAAGAACTAGAAATGGAAGAGCAGAGAAAACGAGCAATCGAAGCTAAGGAAACCGCTAAAAGGTAATTTTGACTCAACCAAAGATGTTGTTGTTATATTTGTAATTTTAGAGAGCTAGAAAAACAGAGGCAAATTGAGTGGGAAAATCAAAAAATATCCGAAATGCAATTGATTCGAAACCGCGAACAAGAAAAAGTTTTGAAATGTAAATCTCAAAACCAAACATTAACAATCGAATTAGACACACTTAATAATAGGGTTAGTTAAAATTTTAAAATTTCTGTGCTCTATTACATTAATTTTTATTATGTTTGAAGATTAAGGAGCTCTCTCAAAAAATTTGTGAAACAAGAGCAAACGTGACCAATGTTAAGACATTTATTGATGGAATGAGATCGACGCGAGATGCACAAATGAGCGAAATGGCACAGCTCAAAGCTAAAATCAAAGAACAAAACCAAAAACTTCTTCAGCTAACACAAGAAAAAATTAAATGGGATGCTAAAGCTAAAAATGCTGCATTAAATGAAGCCAATCAGGCACAGAATAATGCTGCATTCGCTAATAAACAAGTACACTAATTTTTTTTATTTCAAATTTTCTATTTAATTTTGAATTTAAATATTTTTAGCTCATAATTAAGCAGCTTAAAGACAAAATCGAAAATATTAAAAATGACATAGAGAATAAAAAAACTGATATTAATTCAAATGACATTCAGTTGGATGAAATCAAAGATGAACTAAAAACCTTAATAGGAAAATGTGATGAATTATATATTTCATATGATACTCAAAGAAATCAAGTTCTTGAATTGAAAAATAATAAGGCTAATTCCAATCTTAATTATTCGGTCGATAATTACGGTACTGACACATTAAATCAATCAGCTTGGGCAACTGATGACAATATTAACCAAATTCAAGTTTCTTCTACTGATTGCATTAAATATAGAGCTCTTTATGAATTTATTGCTAGAACTGAAGATGAAATATCGTTTCAACCGGGTGATATTGTATTGGTTTCAAATGAAGCAGGTGAACCTGGCTGGTTTAAAGGGTGTATTAATGAACATTGGGGCTGGTTTCCGGAAAATTATGTGGAAAAATATGATGAAACTATGGTAAATGAAAACTATTCAACCTATGATACTTATAGTGCTGCAACAACTGCTGTAGATAATTGGTAAAGAAAATTATTTTTTTTAAATTCTATATATAAAATTTATTAACTTTTTTTTTAAATGGTAGTGCGATTCAAGAGCCAGACGTTGAGGCTACTACGGAGCAACAGATACCTAACGGTGGTGAAAATGAGTATTATATCGCTGCCTATCCTTATGATTCTTCCGAGCCTGATGATTTAAAATTCAATGCTGGAGAGATAATAATAGTGACGAAAAAGGATGGTGACTGGTGGACTGGAAGAATAGGAGAACGTGTTGGTTTATTTCCATCCAATTATGTTGAAAAGGCAGATATTGGTAGCGGAGATAAAGTAAGTTTTTGATGAATATATTGTTTTGATGAATAATTTGTTTTGATTTTCAATAACAAAACAATATTGTTTTTATTGACTTTAGAATGTTATAAAGTCTGAAGTTATACAAAATGATATGACGACAAATGAAATTCAAAATGTAACAGCAATCCAACAAAATGAAGAATCTCGAACGCAAGAAGAGCTAGATACTGAAGTTTCACAAATCAATACCCAAAAAAATATTGAAAATCAAGGATCGTACAGTAGACCAATGTCTCGTACTTCCTCTATGACACCCGTAATATATTTATTACTTAAATATGAAAAATATGTTCATGAGTAAATTATATTTTAAGGGAATGCGTGGTAAAAAAGGTGAAATAGCTCAAGTATTGGCTCCTTATGAAGCCACAAGTTCGGAACAACTTTCTTTAGTAAGAGGGCAGTTAATTATGATTCGCAAAAAAACGGATTCTGGTTGGTGGGAGGGTGAATTGCAAGCAAAAGGACGTCGTCGTCAAATAGGTTGGTTCCCGGCGTCGTATGTTAAAGTTTTGCAAGGAGGACGTAACAGTGGTAGAAACACTCCTTTATCTGGCAGTAAAATTGAAATGAACGAGACCATACTGGGTTTGACTCAATTTTTCAAATTCAGAATTTGAAGATTGAAATTAATAAAATTTTAATCAATTACAGATAAAGTCATAGCCCTCTACCCATATAAGGCACAAAATGATGATGAACTTTCTTTTGAAAAAGATGATATTATCAGTGTCATGGGAAGAGATGAACCTGAATGGTGGCGTGGGGAATTGAATGGTTTAACCGGACTTTTCCCTAGTAATTACGTTGGTCCATTTGTTACATCAGGTAAAAGTTTTTGTTTTTTAACAAATGTTTACAGCATTTTTATATAAGCTTTTAAATGTTTTTCAGGAAACGTTTAATCATTCTACATTCTAGAAAATTGAATTATTAAAAAAACTATATAATATAAATAAAATATAAATATAAAATACATTTTCAGCAATAGAAAATTTTGTGCAAATATTCACTACATATTAGTTAATCATATTATAGCAAGAATGTTAATGTTATGTATTATTGAATATATTATTATTATGTTTAGTTGTACCTGTATAATATAAACGCAAATTAAAATATAATATTCTTCAAATTTACTATGTTTCAAAATTGAATTATGTTTATTCATTAATTTAAGACCTAAGTAAACTTCGTTCTTATAATATTATTGTATTAAATATAAATAATGATAATAATAACATAAAAAAAACAAAAAACTCAATAAATAAAAGGCTCTTATATGTTACGATTTAATCCTGAATTAATTTTTTGTGTTTTATTTCATTTTCCAAAGCAATAAATGACTAAATTAACAAGTTTTTTAATAAGAAAAACCACAGCATATCAATTACAAAACCTTTTTTTATTTGTCAATTATATGCACATTTACTATAAAGGGGAATTTAATGGAAAGGAATTACACCAAGCGCAGTTATCCTGTTTTGTTTTGAGTAGAATTATATTTTATAAGAAGCGGTATTTCGCATTAGTGTTGAAATCTTAAAAGAAAAAACAAAAAGCGGATGCCAAAAATTCTAGAGATGAAATATGTATGAATTATTGAAAAAAAATTAGAAAATTCAATTGAAAATATAATAATGAGTAATCAATCTTATTTGAAAATTGGATGTCTAAGTAAAAAAGTGAGAATTTTAATTTGAAAAGGGCGATTGATTAAGTGCGATACAGAATGAGACTTCATTGCATTATCGAAAATATATTGCATTGTCGGATTTAATTCGAAATGCAATTAATTTACGACCTTTTTTATTGATAATAGTATATAACTTGACTCAACAATGTACTATATGTAAATACGAGTATTACTTCAATTTTTTATTTTTAAGTACATAATTACACTTTTAAATTTTTTAACTTCCAATTTTATATCTTAGCTCTTCAGTTTTTCTAATAATAAAGTAAATAATCCAATCGATTCTTTAAAATTTGTATTTTAATTAACAATTTGTATGACTGTACAAAAACAATTAGAAAATTATTTGCCAACCTCCATAGTGCACGAAAAAACTTATTTTGCATTTAATGCATAACAAAAAAGTGCATTTATTTTATAATTTTTTTGTTTCGTGCAATACATATTATATACATACATGCAAGAAAAGGAATATGCAGGGCAAAACTTTGTATCTTCTTTTTTAATCTTCAAATTGTGTCAATATAACTTTTATTTATTTAAATAATTGTGCCAAACGGGAATTAATAAATTTTCTAATATCAAGTTCGTTAGTTTTATCAGGGGCAGACTCTTTGTAAATTTTAATTGCAAAGTTTGTTATTTGTAAAAGTTTATAATTTTTCACTCACAAGTGGCTTCCAAAGTTGCAGAAGATAATTAAGATAAAAGGTCATAAAAATTGAAGAAATAATGCAAAAACCTAAGCAAATTGTCAGTAGCATAATGTAAATGATGCAAGACATACAAAAAATTGACGAAATGAGATTAACTATTATGGAGAATAGATATACTAAGGTATATCTGGCAACCCAAAAGCGACATCTGAAAAATGTCAGTAAGCAAAATACGTATTGGTATGTGGAACGCTAATGGTGTTGCAAGTAGAAAGCACGAATTGGAGGTTTTTCTTAGAGATAGAAATATCGATGTATGTCTGTTGAAACACGCTTGGGGAAGGATTTGAATGTTAATGAATGCTGTGTAATGGAAGGATTTGAAGGTTGAAGAACCCACCCTGGTAGCCATTCAAGAGGGGGTAGTGCTATTTTAATTAAGAAAACCATAAAGCATAATAAATAATCTAAAATAAAGACGGAGAAAGTTCAACTTGGTTAAAATTGAACCATGCGGAACTCCAATGTTGGTTCAGTATATGATCTACCGCAATGTAACACAAGAAAAATATATTTTTAGGGATCTCCTTTGCGCAGGTGGAAATAGATTTTTACTGGGAGGGAGGTGACTAAAATGCCAAACATATGGATTGGCGTTCCAGAATGACCTTAACTAAAGGCAGAGAATTTAGGAAAGCTATTCGGGTTGGGATGTTCCTATCATTCTACTGGCAGTCCTATTCTGGATCCTATGTTATATATTCTTTATACAAGTGATTTGCCGGATTTACGAGGATGAAATAGCAATATTGGCAACAGGATTTAATGTTGAAGAATCAACAAAAAAGTTGCAAGGAGCAAGTAGCAATATAAGTAAATGGACAAATAATTGGAAAATAAAGCTAAATGAAAATGAATCTGTACATGTAAATTTCAAAAACCAAAAATTTAGCAAACCTACCGAAATTGCATTAGAATGCGGTGACAAATATAGAGAAAACTATTGTTTCCCACGTTGTAGATTTAAATTGGCTCCATGCTACAGAAGAACAAGAAACTGTGTCATGGAACATAGAGTGCGTTTGGAACAGTATGTAAATGTTTTCGACTTATAGGAGAGAGGATGAGGACGAAAAGACTCAAGCGAACGAGACGAGAAAGACTGAAGTGTTAAGACAGTCTTCCTTCACAGAAAGTGGAAACAAAAACGCGATAGAGCAAAACTAATAGCCAGTCAGTTTGACTAGTTTTGGAAGTTTCTGACACTCCAAGTGCGTTTTAGTTTGGGTTAAAGTCCCCCATTATTGATAGGTCTGACGACTTTGGGTCCGCCTATCTTAATTGTCTTTAGATGATTTTTAATACCTGTATTAAAAAAAAAATGTGAATTGTAAATAAAACAAATTTTTTAATTTCGCTTACATAAACTTTTCACTTTTATTTTGTATATAATTTTTTTTTCATTATAATAAAATGATTTTTTATCGATTTATCAAAAAAATTTATAATAAACATTTATAAATTATATAGAAGTTACATTAAATTATAATATGAAGAATTTACAGTATTTGAGTTAAAATTAAATTTTAATTATGGACGCTGTATATTCATTTCATGGTGATGGTTTTTAGATTTTTTTTTGTTTTAATTTTTTTTAACTTAACTATTCTTCTTATCGGAAAATGGCTAAATTTAACGTTTTTCATCGGCAATATCCATTTTGAATAAAGAATTATTTAAAAAAAAATGGCAATTAAAAATAATAACTTTTTTTTTTATCTAAAATTCGATTTCGGGAGCAAGGTCAAATCTTGGAGGGAAAGCCATTCCATCAAGTTGGGGCCGAACTGATGCCCGAGGCTGTAAAGGTAAAAAACAAAATTTGTTACTGATTTATATTTTTGTGAAAAAACTGAGCATAGTTTATTACTTATAAAATTAGGATTAATTTCAACCCACCACATATAATTATAATGTGTAAATTTGTATGATTTAGAACAAATTTGATTTTTTTGTGCTTTTAATTTAAGGATTCTTTTATAAATTGGCAATTGAAAATTAAGAGTGTAAAATTATCATTCATTTTTGGTAACTCTCAGTTTTCAATTGCTAATTACGTTAAATTACTATAAAATCATTTAATAAATCAGTATATTACATATATCTATAGAAATATATATTTTTAAAATTTCAGCACACCGGGATTTCCATAATAGAACATGCAATTCTCTCAGGTATTATTTCAAGAAGTTCATCGAGTAATTGTCGAATAAAATATACTTTGAATAAACTTTGTTTTTTAAAAGTATTCATTTTAAAAAAATTTAACAATATTATGTTGAAATTTAAAAAAAATCAAATAATAAATGATATTTTTATATATCGGTTTTTATTATGAGTGTGTGTATGTTTCAACATTATGTTGATTAAAAGTAAATAAGGCAAAGAGTTAACCGTAATTATTATTAAAATATTTATTTTACATAGAAATATTAATCGCTAAATTATTATTGTTATTTAACAAAACTATATTTATTAACAATATTTTAATAATATATTGTGTAATTATAAAAACCAATTTATAAGAAAATATCAAACACGAAATTTTGAACAACGCAACATTATTTTTTTTAGAAATTTTTTTCAGTGTCTAGAATTCAGAATATTGTTATTGCTACATTACATATGTATGATTATCACTGCAGCAAATACATAATATTGTAAAACCCATATAATAATTTTAATAGTGTAAATTGTTTTTCGAACTTATTATATTCAATAATTATTTCCAATAATATTTGGTTAATTTATTGAATTTCATTTTTTATTTTTGAATTGCATGCTGTTTAAAAATGAATCAAAATATCAAATATAATTTTGTATATGTGAGGAACAATAAAATGATGGTAACTAACAATAAAATGGTAACAAGACGAAACGAAAACACAATACGGACAGATTTCTCATTTTATATTTTTGGGTCTTAGCACTTACAAGCTATGGTATTTTTATTGCTCCAGCGCTCCACTCTTTTTGGTGGCTTTAGGCGTCGCTGCCTAATTAAAATTTATTTCTGATTTAATTTAATTATAATTTTTGATTAATACAGTGTGAATATATAGTTATGACTATTTTATTCAATTTATATGTATAAATTGTATAAAACAGCACGTTTTATCCATATATAAAGTAATGTATTATATATATATATATATATATTATATAAAATACTACTTAAATATATATATATACATATATATATATGTAAAGATCAGCATATTTATATATGTATATACATGCATAAATATAAAAAAAGGAAAGTAGTATGAGCTTCTATATACATATATACATATTAAAAAAATTTGATTGTAAATAAAACAAAAAAGAGCATTTTCAAATACTTACTGCAGGACTGGCACCTCTGCCTATTGAACCGGCTCTACCTTTTGCACGAAATTTGCTAATTGCTTGTTCGGCCATGTCAGCACGTTCTTCAGCCTCTTCAAGTTCTTGTTGAGCTTTGCGGAATTTAGCTAAGTTAAGTGCTGCAATTTCTTCAGCTTCCTCTATTTGCCTCTTGTATGTCTTGATCTTTTGTTGTAATTTGTCAACTAAGTCTTGCATACGTTCATGATTCTTACGGTCTTCTTCAGATTGGAAGGTCAATTCTTTGACGCGACGTTCTGATTTGCGGAGATTCTTTTGGGCATCAGCGTGTCTTCTTTGTTCACCGTCTAATTCATTTTCTAATTCACGTACACGTTGCTCTAATTTTTGGATAGCCTTCTTGCCACCTTTAAGGGCATTAGCCTCAGCTTCATCTAACCTAACTTGCAATTCTTTGATTTGTTGTTCAAGAGCTTTTCTAAGTTTCTCTTGTGTTTGGGCATGATCTTGTTCAGCACGGAGTTCATCAGCTAATCTGGCAGCATCAACCATGGCTTTCTTGGCTTTTTCTTCTGAATTCTTAGCTTCATTCAACAATTCATCTAAATCAGCATGAAGGGTTTGTAATTCTGATTCCAACTTCCTCTTGGCAGCTGAAATTGAAGCATTTTGTGCTGCAATTTCGTTAAGTTGTTCATGGGCATCAGCCAATTCTTGTTCAGCTTGTCTGCGTCCACGATCGGCTTGTTCAAGGAGTGTACGAGATTCTTCGAGCTCATTTTGGAGAGCATTAGCACGACGTTCTGAAATACCTAACTGTTCACGGGCATCATCACGAGCACGTTGTTCTTCTTCCAATGCGGTTTGTAAGTCTTTGAGTTGTTGTTGGTAACGTTTAATGTTCTTTTGAGCTTCAGCGTTGGCCTAATTTTATATAAAAATATTTTTATATTATTTTAATGCCAAATTTTTTAATCAAAATAAATTTAATTTCAAAATATTTCATTATTTGTTTTTTCTAATTCTTTTTCAAAAATGTAATTTGCAATAATGTTGCACATGTTTCTATCTATTTTAAATTTCAATATTAAATTTATATGACCCAAATAATTTCAATAATCATTTGCACGAAAAATATTTTCATACATATCTTTATATTTTTGTATGTATGCAGCTGTTTTTTTGTTTTTTTTCTTTCAATGTGTACATATAATAATTTATTTTTAGAAACAGTGCGAACTTAATGGGTTTGAAAAAATATTGAAGGATATGAAATGCTTCTTAATTTAGAAACATTAATTTCTTTTCGTAACGCTTGCTTTATGTGTTTGTGTATATAGACATGAATCATGAGAAATTTTTTATTGCTAAACCCGTTTGTACCGTAAAAAATACTATTTTTTTTATTTTTATTAATTACCTTGTTAGCATGATCCAAGGCGATTTCCAATTCATTGATATCGGCTTCCAACTTCTTCTTCATACGTAAAGCTTCAGCTTTTCCTTTAGCTTCAGCTTCTAATGAAGCTTGCATGGAGTCCAAGGCACGTTGGTGATTCTTGCGTGTATTTTCGAATTCTTCTTCTTTCTCTTGGATACGTCTGTCAATTTCTTGTCTGACTTGTGACAATTCTAATTGAGCACGCAATACTTTGTTTTCTTCTTGTTCTAAAGCAGCTTCAGCTTCTTCAAGAGCTGCTTGGAGTTCATCTTTTTCGGCTTCTAAGCGTTTTCTTGCTTTTTCAATTTCATGAATGTTACGGCCACCTTCACCAATTTGGTCTAATAAGTCTTTAACTTCATCGGCTAAGTTCTTGTTTTCACGGCGTACGGCTTCTAATTGTTCTTGACCTTCTTCATATGCACCCTTAAGACGGAATAATTCAGTGGAATAATTACGGCATTCTTTTTGTGAGGCATCTAATTCAGCAGCTAAATCATCAACTTTAAGTTTCCATTCGCCAATAATTTTGTCGAAGGCTTTTTGTTTCTTTTCAGCAGCATTGGCAATGGCATTAGCACGGTCGACTTCGAGTTGAAGATCTTCAACTTCAGTTGTTAAACGTTGTTTAGTCTTTTCAAGAGCAACACATTTTTGATTCAATGATTCAATTGTTTCTTCAGCTTCAGCTAAACGAGCTTGAAGTTTTCTCTTAGCTTCTTCTAATTCTTCTGAGCGTGCAACACCATCTGATTCGTATTTTGATCTCCATACTTGAGCTTCAGCGTTAGCTTTGCTGAGTTGTCTTTGTAAATCAGCTTTACCTTCAGCTTCTTCTTCAACTTGTTCTCTCAAGTTGTCTAAGTCGTGTTCTAAATTACGGAATTTACCTAAGAGTGTAGCACGTTCACGAGCTTCTTCATCAGCCAAACGTTTGGTGTCTTCCAATTGTGTTGTAAGTGAAATCTTAACTTTAGATAATTGTGAAACCTGTGATTCAGCTTCTTCCAATTGACGGAGAAGATCTGAATTTTCAATTGAAAGTTTCTTCTTGGCGGCATCGAAGTCGTTGAGGGTTCTATTGGTTTCATCCAATTTACCTGTAGCTTCATTCAATTGATGTTGTAATTGTTTAGCAATCTTTTCTTGTGCAGCCTGTCATTTTATAATTAAAAATATTTTATATTAGTTTTATTTTTATTTTTATTATCTGAAGTATTTTCAACATAATTATTAAAAGCAGACACAAAAAAGTTAGCAAGTCTAGTGCTGGCATACAGTGAATGTTTTTTTTATGTTTTGTTATATTTACAGGAGTGTTTTTTAAATTACTGAGCTGTGCTGAAGCCATTGGTCCTTGATAACATCTTTCATATACATACATAATTATTTTTTTGTTTTTTTGTATATATATATTTTTTTATACATATTGTCAAAATGAATTTAAAAAAAGCATAAATCTATAAGCATTTATTTATTTTTACAGCTTAGCTTTTTTTCATATTTATAACTTGATCTCGCATTGCTTGGCAAAATCATGATAAAAATAAATACCTTTTCGTTGCCAAGGTGGTCAACACTAGCTCTGAGGTCATTTAATTCACCAAAGTATTGGGCCTTCTCCTTTTCAGCCCTAAGAGTAAATTGTGTTTCAAAATATTAGATACAATAATTGGGTGTATTAAAAATTATTAATTAAATAAAGAAATAAAAAAAATGTTACATATTATTAAAGTCGTTTTTGAATTTTTAATTTTGTTTTATTCAAATGTTGGGATGATCAACAACATTGTGCGTTGTAAGTATACATTTAAGACAATTAAAATTGATTAAAAAATTATTCGACACTTCTTGTATTTCTGTAGTTTGTATATATATTTTTTTGTGTACGTTTTATGTGTATATTTATTGCAAGAAACACTTTTAAAATAAACGTATAAATTATTTGAGACAAAGGACATCACAGTTGAACCAAATTGTCATGATTCCATATATGACAAAATATGGTTTTTTTGATACAATAATTCAACGATTCACTTTACCTTATCACGCGCAAGTTGGTCGCAAACTCCGCGTGTTTGATTAAGCTCATTATGTGCACTTTGGCGATCATGTTCAGCTCTTTATTATATGTAAAATTAATAAATTATATTTAATTAAATGCATTTATCTAAAGTAACAAAATTTTGATTTCGAATAAGTATATAAAAAAAGAAAGTTAATAATAAAGTTACCAAAACCAACTATATGTGACCTAACTTTTAAGTTACAAAATTTATTTTTTCATTCATTTTTTTTCAGATAATTTTGTTTTTACACTTTTTTTAAAAAAGTTCTAAAATAAGCTGAATCTATTTTTAAATTGAAATTATGTTCTAGATATGCTGTTTGTGTTTATGTGATTTTTTATTCAGTTTTTAAAATTCATTCGTAAGGTGTAAATAGAAATTCGTAAAGAGCCTTCGTATGATGGTGAGATCATAGATCTAAAGTTTTATTTTTATGTTTGTATATAAAAAATATAACAAAAATTATTTGAAATTTTTCATGTTAGCTAGGTGATTCATTTTTTTTTTAAAATGTGAAATATTTTCAAATTTTCAAAAATTTAATTGAAAATGTATGACAATATTTAAATTTTATGTAATTGAAAATATTTAATTATATATACGTATGTATATATTAAGCGAAATAAAAAAAAAAAACAAAATTATTATTATTTTTGTATATATACCTACACGCTTAATTTAAAATTAAAGTTTTCTTATTGCTATTTGGCAACATTCCAAAAAAATATTTAGAATTTTTCTACTGATCATTTGAACACTATTCATCCCAAATCGAAACGTTTTTATTTTTTCGAAAAAACAATTTTCAGTACACATGTTGAATGTACATAAGTGTGTACACATCATTTACATTATGTACATAATTATTATGTATATAATGCAGGTTTGTTATATTTGTCTGATATAAATATTTTATTATGCATAATTATATCATAATAATAAAATATTTATTAAAATATTAATGATGTAAATTATAAAATATATTTTATATTATATATAATAAATATATGTATATATACATATGAAATGAAAAAAGAGAGTAAATAAAAAATCAACTTACTTAGCCTTCAATTTATTGAGTTGATCAACTTGTTCAGCCATTTCAGCAACAGCATCATTGTGTTTCTTGCGGAGGTTAGCTAATGTAGCTTCATGTTGAATGTTGGCTTCTTCTAAGTCACGTCTAAGCTTGCTAAGTTCAGCTTCACGTTTCTTATTAAGTTCAATTTGAGCTGAGGTTGCACCACCAGCTTCTTCAAGACGTTCACCCAATTCCTCCAATTCACGGGCCAAATCAGCTCTTTGTTTTTCAGCTTTAGCACGTGCTTGGCGTTCAGCTTCAACTTCTTCTTCGAGTTCTTCAATTCTTGATTGTAATTCTTTAACTTGTTTTTGTGATTTACCAACAACTGATTGTTCATCTTCTAATTTGGCAGTCAATGATGAAATTTCCTTATCTTTACGTTGAATTGTTTGTTCCAACTCTTTTTTGTTACGTTCTAAGTCTGATACAGCCTCTTGTGTCAATTTAAGATCACCTTCTACTTTTCTTTTTGATTTTTCAACATCACCACGTAATTTCTTTTCACGTTCTAAAGAATCTTCTAATTCGTCGAGTGTTTGTTCTAATTTAGCTTTAACTTTGTTAAGGTGGTTGATTTTATCTTCGGCTGCTTGTAATTCTTCACCAGTTTTTTGGTTTGTTTCACCTTGCATTTTCTTTTCTTTATTCAATTTGTTGATGAGTTCGTCTTGGTGAGCGATTTCATCGTTCAAATTGCGGATTTGATGATCTTTTGTGGCTTTATCTTGTTCAGCCTTTTGTACAGCCAATTCCATATCTTCAATGTCTTTCTTGAGTCCTGAGATTTCTTGATCGGCTTTCTTCTTTTGTTGGAATAATTGATTGCGGGCATCTTCCTCTTGTGACAAACGATCTTGAATGTCCTATTAAAATTAAAAAAAAATTATTTATATTCACTTGTAATTTTTTAACTCATTATTTAAAATTTGTTTGCATTTTAAACGAATATTAAAATTGCAGAATACATTGCCATGTGCCTTATGCACAAACGAAAACAAAATTATTTTTATATTTGTTACTTAAATTAAATTTTGCACTAATGATACACTAGTGTGTTTTTAAATACGTCATGCATTCTGAATTTGTTTGTTTTTCAATTTACCAAAGTTCTTCTTTAATACTTACGCGAAGTTGGTTTTCTAAATCACTCTTTTGTGCTTGTAATTTAGCGGTTTTTTCTTGGAATTCTTGGATTGAACCTTTTTCACCAGCCAAAGAATCCAAAAGAGCGTTCTTTTCTGCCAATAATTTAGCATTTACAGCTTCCAATTCTTTTCTTACTTTTTCTTCTTTAGCAAAAGCTTCTTCAGCTTTCTTAGCTTTCTCTTCAAGTCTCTGAAATTTAGAATGAATATCATCAGAATCATTTAAGATCATTGATTGTGCGACAGCAATATCAGATAGATCTTCAGCAGGTGCGGCAGGCACAGCAGGTGCATCAGGTTTTGGTTCAGTTGGATTTTCAGGTGGACCAGGCTCAGCAGCTGGTGCAGGTTCAGGATTTGCTGGCCCTGTTTCTCCATTTTGTGGTGGAGACGCTGCTTCAGGTGCAGTATCTTTTTTTGCCTCTTTCTTTTTCTTACCCTTACCGGCAGCTTTAGAATCATCAACAGCTTTAGTTTCGGCTTCCGCATCCATTTTTGTAGGTTTTTTTAGTTATTATTTTTCGTTTTGTATGTTTAGTATATTAAAAATTTCAATAACTAATCGTTCGTTTAATATTTAAAATACTTTTATTCTGTTCTTTATTTTTTTTTCTTTTCTTTTATCAATCCCGATAATTCGATTTTAATTTAAAAAATAATTTAAATTTTTTAATCAGGATTGTATCAAAATAAAAACAAAACTAAATTTTATTTTCAATGTTTGCAATTTTATTTGCAAAACGAAAGAACTGAAAGCCGAATAATTAAAAAAAAACCGAAAATTCAAATGAAATTTCTATATATACTTCAGGACTTTGATGTTACGATTAGTGATTCTAAAATGAATCCATTCCAATATTTCGTATCAAATCGTTTAGAACTATCATAAATAATCATCCCTCCCAAATCAAATCTATATTTAATAACCATAATTTATATTAATATCCAGAAATAGAGGAATAATTTAATACATTTTCACTTTATTTAATTATAGGAAATTTTTCGCCCTACTCCTAAAAATTTTCATTATAAATTTTTTATTTATTAAATATTCATAATTGAAAATTATTATCATTCCCACTCAATTTTCATTTGGCATTTCGTAAGTATTGGTAAAATTGTTTGAATCATAGAAATAAAAACGAAAAAAAAAACAAAAAGGAAAAATTTAAAAAATGAGAACTTTTTAATATCCCCACTTAAATACTTTTTCCTATAATAATTTATTATTTTATGTATCAAAATAAGGTACGATTTTATACAAGAAATAATGTAAAAATATGAAGTGGGATCAAAAAGTTTTAAAGGCAAAACATTTTTTTTTAAATCAGGTGAAATTTTTTTAATATTTCGTTTTTCCTTGTACCTATGTATGTAATAAATTGTATATATAAATATAAAATTCTGTTTCTGATCTTTATATTTTTTCAGGTGTAAGTGACACATAATTAAAATAAATTTTCTAATTTCATTTATTTTTATTTTTAGTGATCAAAATATCATAAAAATTGGAATTGAATTTTTTTTGGATTGTTTCTAAATCTTTTCGCATTATTAATCTTTTTTTGAAAGTGCATATTTATAATTTTCGAATAAAATTGATATTCGAATATATTATCGGTGATTTAGGATATAAAAATAAACATTTTAAGTAGAAAGCAAAAAAAAAATAATAAAAATAGCAAATTAAAAATATATTAAATTTTTCTGCATGTATATGTATAAGTAGATTTGCCTCTTTAATGAGTAGGAGTCAAAATTAAAAAAAAAGATATTTAAATATTTATATTAAAAATATTAAAAAAAAATTAATTATGAATGTGCAAATGAGTCTATTAGAAATTTTCATGTTGTTGGTATCCAAGTCAAGAAAAATCAACAAATCAATCAAGGACAATGTAAAACAATTTTTTTGTGAATAATTTGAAAGATAATTCATATTACGTACTAATAATACACATGAATAATAACAAATATATGTATATAAGTTTGTTTTAATGAACATTCCTATCTATATTCATATCAAGAAGCAAAAGAAATGAAAACTATAAATAAATCATAATGAAAAGCTTATCGATAACCGGCATGGAGAATTTCGCAATTAAGTTCAGATATTAATATTTTCCTTTCAAAATAAAAAAAAATTATTCAAAAGTAAAATATTTTTTTTTTAACACTCTGCTGTCGCATAATATTTTCTGCTGAAGATCTTTCATCTTTGTATTATGATAGGAAGAAAATAAATAATATTATGTTTAGGTATACATATATATAAAATAAATTCAAGAACTCATGGCTTGTATACATACTCATGTACCTCAATAATAATAAATAAAAATAAATATAAATTAAAATGTGAAATTCGAAAATAATTAAGAAATACGAAAAGGTATTTGAAATACCATTTAAAAATATTTTCTTGAATTTAATTTATATTTATACGTATATCATTTATGTAATTTATATTATATAATATAATTATAGAAATATACATATGTGTAATCTATGTGTAACTGTATTATATACTTACGGCAATTTCATCTTCAACACGTGTGACGTTAAGAAGAGGTTTAACTTTTTGCCACAATTTCCACCATGGCCATGTACGTAATTGAAGGTATTTGCGCAAGTTTCTTTGTACAACTTGTAAGGCAATACGTTGTTCTTGTAATTTCTTGAATCCTTTACGGGCCAAGTAACCACGAGCCCAAGCTTGCATCCATGACATAATTTTACCTAAGCGTTCATCACGCAATTCTTCCATCTGACCCAAGACACCAGCTCTGAAGAATACCTATTTTTTGCGTTTAAATTTTATGTGTGTTTGTAGTAAAAATTCGATGTACATGCATATATAAAAATATATATGTGCGCATAAAATTCGGAAAGTTATTAAAAAACAAATATAATAAAAAAATTTTTTATTAATACGAGTATAAATATAAAAAAAATGTCGAATAAAAGTAAATAGCAAATTAAATTTTGTTTTTTTTGGTAAGCGTTCGATTCATTAGATATTAAAATTGTTAAGATTTCGAAATTAAATTAATAAATGCTTAATATTTGTATAAAATGAACTTATATTTGTATAAATTGCAACTTGAAATTTTTAATATCAAATGAATCGAATTTTGCAGAAACATTGAATAAAAAATAAAGAAAACTTTATTTCTAAGGTAAACAGTTACAAAAAGGTGAATAAGTATAGGAAGAAAATAAATCACAATGAAAACAATTAATAAAAGTGTACTTATAAATGTACGTAAAAATATTCAAAAAACCAAAAAAAAAGGTAGAAATAAATTAAAAATTAAAACCAGTAAAAATTAACAACAATATTTTGAAATATTTAAGGTTAGTTTCTTATCGTAATACACAATTTACTATATATATATATTTGTATTATGTATGTTGATGGTTAAGTGTAATAATTTTATATATTAATGCTTTGTTAGCGTGTATGTGTATAAAATTTTGTTTTCCCAATTATTTGTTTTTCTTTTATTAATTAATTTATTAATTAATTAAGGTTAGTAGTGTGTGTTATACCTTTGTTTTACCCAAACGGTATGTGTCATCGGGCAAGCTTATAGAATCGAGTATAATTTGTGCCGCTTTATCAGGTTTAACTGGTTCATGTTTTGCAAGTTCTTTAACGCAAAGAATTTTGTATCTGTTTTTTTTTTTGTTATAATATTCACAAAAAAATTTTGTTACAAATCAACGAGTTATTAGTATGTTGGTATTTAATTAAAAAATTTTGAAATAAAAATAATTAATTTGTATATTGTGTAATCAATTATTAAACGATAAAATTGTGTATTTGTGTATATATATATAAATAAAAACAATAAACAAAACAGTGTGTAATTAATATTTAAAAAAAAATATACATATATAAAAAAAAGGTTACTGTCTTTTTACATGTATATATGTATATATAAATATTTGCATATACATATTGCAGTGAAGTAAAATTTGAATATGTATATGACAAATATAAATGACAGATGTCATAATGTGTCATTATATAATCTATATTGTGTTTTATTGCCTTAATTTCTAATTAACTCTAAAATAATTTGGTTAATTTTGAATTATAATAAAAAGTGTCCCTGTTTTTTAAAGGGATTCCATGATTTATATGAAATTATTATGTGAGCCTTATAAAATAATTTCTCTAATTTATTTAGAGTTTTTTTCTAATTTAATATTAATATTTCTTATTCCAAAATAAATTATCCAACAAGTTTTATAAGGTTGGTTGTTTAATGTTAGTTTTTTTGTATATGAATTTTCGCATAATTCAACAACTTTACGTATCAGTTTTAAATTGTTGATTAAAAAAAAACATATATTTATCATTCTTTTCCCCCAATCTCAATCTTTATACAGAATATTATACAATAAAATTAAAATTATAGAATCATTATCATTAAAAGAAATTAATTGTAAAATATATATTTAATATTGTGTGTACTCGTATAAAACATATAGAGAAAATTTACATAAAAAAAAATAAAAAAAAAAATTATATAATTAAGAGAAATATTTCAGCATTGAAATAAAATATAGCCTTAGCTGCGCCGCGCAATATGTACATTTTTTTTTTGTTTTTGCAGTATACACAGAAAATTTAAATTGTATTGAAAAAATATATCATGCCTTTGTGTTACCCATACGATAAAGATCTGAATCGAGATTGGTGTTTTCCAAAATGAGTGGGGCACATTTCTTGGGATCAGGTGTTGCAGTAACTGCTTTAGGGTTAAGGATTTTGTACCTAGATGATGAATATATTTAATAAAATGTAAAAGAAACCATAACGAAATTTTTTCGAAACTCACATAAAACAATTAATTCATATATCAAGTATTTTTTTTAATTTCGAATTTAAAAATTAAAATATTTTTCTAAATAAAATTTTAATTAACATTAGATTCAAAAGACTAATTTGTTTTTATCAATACACTAAAAAATATTTTGTGCAATAATTATAAATTTATATACTCAAACTACATTGAAACTTTAATTAAAAAAAAAAATAAAACTAAATTAAACCAATTACATATGTAAGTTTCTTCTTCTCATATCATATGAGTATTTCAATTATTTTTATATTTTCTAATATCATTTTTCCAAGTATTTGTAGAATTTAAATATTAATTATTTAAAAAAAAATTTTTATATATTACGTATAATATCGGTATACATATAGTGTGAAATGTATATATATATATGTATATATATTGTATAAAACATGTTTACTTAACAAATAAATAGATTAATTACTTTTCTACTAGTCCCAACGTTTTAAAAGAAAAAACAATATTGGATGTGTAGGTATTAAACTACAACGTGCAAGGGATTTTGTGTAAAAAAATATCATGAATATTTTTTGATTGCATTCACATTAAGTTTCACTATTGGGAATCAAAACAAAAACTGTATTTTATTTCATGTTTTAATTACTTAATTCCAATAATTAATTTAAAATTCAAATGTAGATAAAATACAGTTAAAGGTAAAAGAATACAAAATGTAATGAAAATAAATAAAAAATTATGGTAATACTTTGTTTTGTAATATTTAAACTAGGAATAAGGATTACTATTGGAATCATTATAATAAAAACTAAAATTTAATGGCCTGCCTTAGTATGTCCAATACGGTAATTATCAGGATCCAAACCAACAGATTCAAGACATTTAGCAGCTGCATTTTTAGGATTTTTTTCAGCTGTCATAATTGCAGGCGCCAAAATCATGTAACTATATATTCATAATTGACATTAAAAATTGTATCGAAAAAATTAACGAATAATAATAAAGAATTAGTTTTAAAATATTAATTTACTTTTTAAATGTATTTAAAAGAAAATAAATTGCGATAAATGAAATAAATTGTTTCAATTTTGATTGTATATTGATGAGAAGAATTAAATATTCCTAAAAAAGTTTTATAATATTCCTTGATTCCATTAAATTTAAAAATTGAATTCCCTTTTCTTATATTCATGTATCTATGATACTATCATAATATGAATTTGATATTGTATTATAAATACTATGTATAATAACAATAATAAATACTTACCGCAATTTGAAGTCTGGGTATACCATTCTGTTGGGGAAACCTTTACGACAAATACGGATACCTTCAAGTACACCGTTACAGGTCAATTGATGCATTACCAAGTGTGAATCAATGACACCGGGTTGTTTCAATTCATTTGGAATGATACAACGTACAAAGTGAGGTTGTGTTGATCTCAAAGTTGTCATCAAATTATTCAATTGTTCTCTGTAGGCTGAAGATACAGTAGCGAAACCACCACCTTTCTTACCACGACCACCTTTACCACCAGTATCTTGACCACCAGATTGACCTGGATGATCAGCGAAGATTTCTATCAACAATTTGTTGGATGATTTTTTGAATTGGTCGACAACAGTGTCGTTCAAGGGATCCTTGTTCTTTTCCAACCAACCGGTGATATTATAGGCTACAACACCAGCATAATGGCCAATGGCAAAGTGAGCAGCTTGTTGACCTGGCTTTGGTGGTTTTGGTTTTTGGAAGGGTGCTGATTTACCCAAGTGAGTTGAGTTCAATTTTTCAGTGAAAGTTTGATCAGTAGCTTTCGGGAACATAGATTCTTCTTCAAGGATGGACAAGATACCCATAGGCTGTAGTTATTTAAATTTTTTATTTTTGATTACAAAAATAAAGGTATAAAAATATTGAAATTAATAAAATTGATATTTCAAAGAATTGAAAAATTATTATTTTTAGAATAAAAAACATAAAAGTGATTAACAAAAATTAGGTGGTTTTTACTTGTTAACTAAATACGCACTGCTTATAAATATGCATCAGTTTAACGCTGTTAGTTAATAAATATTGTTAAATGAAGAAAGATATGAAGGAGTTATTACTTTGAATAAGCTGAAAAAATTAAATTAAAAAATTTTTAATATTAAAAAAAGTGTAAAACTTTTTTTTTTGAATTTACAGTGCAGCAATTTTATTGAAAGGTTACCAATTTCTAAATGGTTTTACCTTTTCAATCAATTCAATACATTGTTGAAGATCCATGCCAAAATCAATGAAGGTCCATTCAATACCTTCACGTTGGTATTCTTCTTGTTCTAAGACGAACATGTGATGATTGAAGAATTGTTGCAATTTTTCGTTAGTGAAATTGATACACAATTGTTCGAAACCGTTATACTGTGGGATGGAAAATTAGTTTTTGTTTTAAAGAAAAAAGGGTTTGTTACAAAATGTTTTTGTTAGAACATATTTTTTTATATGCCTTTTATTTAACGTTGAATTCTAGTATTTATTCTAAAAATTAGGATTTTCCGTATATTTTAGTTAATTTTGTGAATATACGGACATAGTATACAAGGGAAAAATATTTTCAAAATGATGGTATCGATCTTTTGTTCGGTCTTATAATACGCATGTATATATAGAGTAGATATTATTCTATATATGTATAGATGTAATATCAATAGGAAAACAAAGAAATTTCACCCAACACATAATCCATTATGACAGATGATTACTAATGCGAATCATTGAGATCCGTAAAAATACCTTTTCAATAAGATCAATACAGGCCAACAAGTCCATACCAAAATCAATGAAATCCCAATTAATACCTTCTTTTTTGTATTCTTCTTGTTCCAATACAAACATGTGATGGTTAAAGAATTGTTGCAATTTCTCATTGGTAAAGTTGATACACAATTGTTCAAAGCCGTTGTACTAAAGATTTTTCATTATTTTTTTTTATTATTTTTTGTGTATAAAATCAATATTTTTTTTGGAAATGAATTAAAATTTTATGGAATGGGGATGAAATTAAAGAAAAATAATTTAATTTTTTTTCATAGTTTTTAGTGTTTTTGTTGTTTGATTTTTTTATGCAGTAAGAAATTTCCAATTGAAAAATTTAAACTACATCGTATATGTATGTGGAAATTTTTTTGTTTATCAACATAAACCAGAAAATTCTGTACACGGAAGAAGAATATTTAAAAAATTTAATTTTAGATTTTTAAAGATTTTAGAAGGACAAAATATAAACAAAATAAAAAATAATTAATTAATCTTGCGCGGAAGTAAATACCATAATATTACATTGAAGAAAAATACATCCAAAATTAAGTTAATTATAAATTATGCACTTATGCAAAATAAAATTGCACGTCATGAAATGGAATTTGCCAAAAATTTTTTGTTTTTCTTTTTTGAATAATTTGCGATGCAATTTCATTTTCTTCATCTATTATTAGAAAAAAAGAAAGTTATTTCGTAAAAAAACAAAATTACGTAGAACTGCTGATTTAACAAATTCCCATACATATAAAATGTACATAAATTTGTATTCCAATATAATAATGTATAAAAAATTCGATATTCCAATAAGTAGGTATTCGCATCTGTACGGTTTATGTTTAAAATATGTTCCCTTGTTAATAAAAATTTGAATGTTTATTCATAATCGAAAATTTCGACTCTGAATAAACATTCAATCGAATAAATCTTACATCGAAAATTTCGAAACCAGCAATATCCAGTACACCAATGAAATGTTGACGTTTTTGTTTTGTGTCCAAAGTTTCGTTACATTTTTTGACCAACCATTTGAAGAGACGATCAAAGGTACCCTTACATAAAGCACCAACTGAGTTATTGACTTGTACAACATTACGACCTTGTGTGACGAATTCTGTACCGACTTTAATACGGGGTTTCAATAAGTTAGTGTAAAGTTGTGCTGTGTCACAACCCAATAATTTGGCAACACGTTCACCATCATCTGTACCATCAGCTTCAGCCTGTTCTTCGCGACCTCTTTGTTTGAATTTCATACCACCCATGTGCATGACAGCGGCGGTGATTTTGTATACATTTTCTTTTTCTTCTTTGGTGAAACCCAAGACATCAAAGGCTTGCTATATGTACATATATGTATGTATATACATATATTTGTAAATATATAGAAAATATAAAGGAAAATATTATAATTAGTATCATAATTTTACTGTTTATTATTTCAATGTTAAACATAAAAAACAATTGAAATTGCAATGAAAATAAACACAAAATTTTGTATATGCTTAAGCATTATATTAAATTAAAGAGCGCATTTTAAATATTTTCTATTATTAATTTTATATTTTCGTATTGATATTTTATTATAATGATATTTTTAAATAAGATTTTTTATTAATAAAAATTGCTTATATAAAAATATTTACAGTGTATATTAATATTAAGAAATTTTACAAAATTTAATTCTCTGGTTTCAATAATATAAAATTATTTTTACGTACTCAAATGCATGATGCATCCTTACTTAGTTTAATATGTTTTCATTCTTTTTTTGTTTTTACTTAACAATAGAGTTGTTTAGAAGAATATAAATTTTGTGTATACAAATGTAAATTAAAAAGTCTGACTTAAAGTAAGACTATAAAAGCAAAAAAAAAATTGCTAGAATACATAAGGTATGAGTGCATCATATTCCAGCATAAAGATGTGGAGGGTAATTGTCTTTGTACCTGTTGATCTTTTTTTCTGTAAATTTCAACTTAAAAGTAATATTTTACATGTTCGTTTATTAAAATACTGTTTCAGACAGTTTTCTTTTTGTTTGTTTTGTTATTCAATCTATAAAAGTAATTATGTGTATGTACATTGATTATGTATCTATGTTTTTTATTGTTTTTTTTTTTTTAAGAAAACATGTTTATATAATGTGTTCAATACATAAAATTTGTATGATTTTTATATGCTAAAACATTTCATAATATCCTTATGTACGACACATTACACATTTTTGAAAACATACAGACATAACTTTTTTTTTTGAATGAAATTCTTAAACTTACATCTGTAAGTGCAAATTCCTCGCCGTCATCCATATTTGGAATTGTAACTTTACCTTGTGATACATTTACGTAATCGTAGATGTTGTCAGAAAGGAAACACATTGCTAAATTAAGTATTAAATACAATAAAATACAAAATTTTTAATATTTTTTCCACGTTTTTTTTTCAAACTATTTTGTTTTACTAAGTGTTTATTTAAACCGAAATGTGTACTTAAAAATTTTTTATTGTTATATATATTTTGTTTTCTACATATGAATCTATTTGTGTATGCAAAAATTTTTGTTTTTTTTTTTTAATTTTGATCATTCCAATTATATGTTTAATATTCTGAGTAAACGAAAAAACCTTTAATATCCAAAGTCGAAGATTTTTGTTGGACGAACATAATTCAGACTTCAGGAGTATATAATATTTAAAAATAAACATAGAAAAAGTTATAGTAAAAAGTTAAAATAATAAAATTTAAAAACATAACCTTCAATTAGTCTATTATTATGAAGGTTGAAGCTAATTTATATATACATATAGGGTGTTTTCTAATTTTATTTACAATTATTAGATATTTATTTTCATAGATAGCGATTTAAATTTAAAGAAATCATAAATGGTTTTTTTTTATTTTCATTTTAATTAATTAAAATTAATTCTAGGTAATTTTTTTAAATTTATTGCGTGAATTAATTATCATTTATCAAAGGATTGTTATATTTGATTTACATATACATAATAAAAATATAAAAAGCTATAATTTTGATATTTAAATATTCAATATATAAGCAAATAATAATAAATACTATATAATAATATGATTGAAAGCAGCAAAATAATTTAAATAAAGTTAAAAACAAAATGGGAGCATATAATTATAATAAAAGCATAAATAAAAATTTTACAAAACACAATTACATTATTGTCAAATGAAAAAAAAAAACAAGAAAAACAAATAAACAAACAAAATACTTCAGTAATTTCGAACTCCTCGGCATCATTAATACTAGGAACAGTTGTAACACCTTGTGATACAATACGATAGTCGTGAACATCGTTTGTTAACATACAATATTCTGTTTGTGCGTATTTATGTGTACGTATTTTCAAAATATTTGTATGCATTTTTTTTAATGTGTGTACAAAACCAAATGAAAAATAAAATACAATCACAAATTTTAATATCAACGATCAACTTTGATATTAAGTATATTTTATAAATAATTATTAATAAATTTTATGAATATTACAAATAAAAACTGAAAATGTAATTAAATGTAAATTATGACGTGTAAACAAAAATAAAAAATTATGTTTTTTAATGAATACCAATTCCTTGTTATATATAAGGTTTTTGTTTTGGTATATACATATATAAAACGTGGTAAAATAAAATAAAAAAAAATAATATGTAATAAAAAAGTTTAAAAATTTTCAACAAATGAATTGATGACGAAACAAACGAAACAGTAAAATGAACAAAGAAACAAATTCAATTCTACTGGAAATTTTACATTGTCATATCAAATGCAAAATATTCCCAAAAGTTTATAACTTTTTTTTTTGAAAAAAATTTCAAACAATTCTTTTTGTGTTTTAACAAAAGTGAAAAGCAAACAGAGAATTAATAAAAACAATCATTTCTATATTAATTACATCAGTCAAAGTGAATTCTTCACCATCATCTACACTAGGAATAGTTGTTTTGCCTTGTGATACAATTCTGTAATCATAGATGTCGTTCGAGAGCAAACAAGCCTCTACGTATTATAAGTACAAAGTATTAGTAAAAAGGTACAAAATGTGACAAAATAAATTATATTTGTATAATTTTATTTTTGGAATGCATTAACTGTATAAAAAGAAGGTTTTAATAAAAAAAATCTCAAAATCTCGATATGTGTTGCAATGTATATCGAGTAGATTTTGAATTAACATATTTTCCATATGTTATACATGATTTTGATGAAAATTGTACATAACTAGTTTTATATATGTAGGTACAATTAAAAAAAAATATTAAAAAAACGTTTAACTTCCTTTCATATTTTTTTCATTACTACATGTATGAATTTGACGTAATGTCATTCGTTTAGTGAAATTGTAAATAAGTCTTAAAATAAATACACAATTTCAATAGCTTAATGTAACGATATATATATATATATATATATAGTATATTTCTGTATATACACATATAGTTTAGAAAAATTAGAGGGACGAAAAAAAACACAAACATAACTGGGAATGGAAGGAATTATCAACATAAGATTGTATTATAAATTCAGACCTAATACAATTAAATAAACGAGTTTCCTTAATCTGAATTAATACTTCTACTAAATTTTTCTACTAATAAATATACTAAAATCAAAAACTTTCGGACTTTGAACTATCGTACTACGGGAACATAATCATATTTGTTTGTATGTTTCAACATACAATAATACTGAAAGAGAAACGTATGTAGACGTGCGGGAGATCCAAAAAAATTGTATTAAGTTCATATTTTAATACAATTACAAAAAAATTTGAAAATATTATGATTTTATTCTAAAGATACTTAATACACTTATTATTGAATGCAATAGAACAATAGTGATTGATGTCTTTTTATATAAAATAAATAATAAAAATTATTATTGCTGTTCGTATACAAATTTTTTCCAATTTCAATGACAATTGATCCGACGAATTCAATAATAAGCATTATTATTTAAAAAAGGGAATAGAATCAAAAAAGTTTGATTACGTCGGTGTATTGAAATTCCTCGGCATCATCATAATTTGGAATTGTGATCTGGCCTTGTGAAATATTGTAATAATCCATAATGTTGTCTGTCAGACAACAAGAGTCTGGTTTCATATTGTAATTTTTTCGTTTGTTGATAATTTTGTTTAATTTTTTTTGTTTTGTTTCAATTTTGAGTTCAAATTAGATATAATGAATAAAGTTCCGATAAAAAAATTAAAAATAATTTAAATAATTTTGAAAAGTAAAAAATTTAATAAAAATGTAATATTAAAAAAATTTGTTTTTTCCATATACGATTAAAAAATTTTTATGGCAATGTAAATATATTTCTAATGAACTGAAAATGATATTATGAAAATTAAGAGTAAATCATATAAAATATACCTTTAACTCCAGCTACAGAGCCGGACATAATTTGGTAGAAAATGTGGTATGACCGTTCCAAAGATTGTTGAGAAATGACACGAGCCTTTTCTAATAGATCTGTATTTTATTAATAAACAAAATAGGCATGTGATCAATATATAATATTTAAACTATAATTTTCATTGATTATATATTATCGAATCTGCAATAATATGTTTGAAAATAAATTAAAACTTACAAGTTTCAATATCAGCACCAGCAAGTTTACCAGTTGGGCCGAAATGAATACGGATGAATTTACCCTATTTTAGTTGTAATGAAATAGAAAAAAAATTTTAGTCTTACTTCTATAACAAAAATCATAAAAAGAATTAAAATTTATTAAGTTTAAAATTTTACTTACGAAACGAGAAGAGTTATCGTTACGGACGGTCTTAGCGTTACCAAAAGCTTCAAGTACAGGGTTAGTTTGTACGACTTGATCTTCAAGTGAACCCTTCTTTTCAGCAGCTGCATCTTTTTTGGTTGAAGCGCCAACGGTGGCGAAATACGCAATTACTTTTTTCGTGTTCTCAGTCTTACCAGCACCAGATTCACCAGTAATCAACATAGATTGATTTTGATGATTTGTTAACATTTCAACGTAGGCACCGTCAGAAATGGCGAAAATATGTGGTGGCATTTCATTACGACGTTTACCACGGTACATTTTAGCACAGCGGTTAGTGTATACGGGGAAACGTTTGTATGGATTGATAGCGATACAGAAAAGACCAGAATAAGTCTGTATATATGAAAAAATGCGAAAAAATTCATATTAGAACATTTAATATACATAAATGTAAGAAATTTTTGCTTTTTATAAAAATATTGAAAATTTTGTTTTTTGTTTTGTAAAAAATTAAGAAAAAACACAATTTGCGTATAAGAAAAAAGTCTTGTCTGTTTTTTATTTCTTTACACAAAATGTAAGAACAGATAAATAAAATTCAATTCAAAAAATCTACTGTTATCTTCTTATAAATACAAATACATACATTTTTTATTCAATTTAAACATAAAAGTCACCTTATAACACAAGAAAACCAAATTAAATTATATGACACATAATAACGCTTATGTTTACTGCATTTTTGTATTTGCTATAATCCTGTTTGAGTTTTGTTTGTTATTTTACCTCATAAGGTCCGGATTTCGGCGTTTCTGGCCGATTTGTTGGTTCCTTATAAGTAATGTAAGCATTTTTGTTATGAGTTATGAGTTTTTATTGTTGTATGATTAAAAATGTTTTCAAGTAATTGTTAATAATGTTTAGTTTAGCTTTTATATGATAAATTTAGTTAACGAGGAAAAAAATTTTTAAGGTTTTAAAAAAATGTACAATTTTAAATAAATTTTGATTAGCCAAAATGATTTTTAAATGTTATAAACATTTTGTATGTTTGTTTGTTTTAGAAAATTTTGAAAATTTGAAACTAACGTTTATGAAAGAGTATATAAAGCACATAAAAAATCAAAAATTGACGAAAAAAAAATAAAATGAAACAAATTAGCAAACGAAATACTTACGTAAATAAGTTTATTGTAGTATCTCTGCTTCAAGTTATGAAGTACAGAGGCATCGTTTAAATATGTCAAATTAGACATATCTTCGGTTTTCTCATACTTTGGAGGATTGACTTGTGTGACAAGATCTTTTTTGAAATCTTTTGTCTATATTTTATATTATTATGTTCGTAAATTTGTCAGTCATTTTCAGTCAATTTTTTGTTTTCGTACATAATTTATAAAGTGTAAAAAAGAAAAAGAGAAAAAAAATCTAATTAATATTTGTTGGCATTTTTTAACTTACATAAATTAATTTCGAGTAGTATCGTTGCTTTAAATTATGTAGTACTGAGGCGTCGCTAAGATAAGTCAAATCAGACATATCTTCCACTTTTTCGAATTTCGGGGGGTTAACTTGACTAAGTTGATTTTGTTTAAAATTTTTTGTCTAAATTATGGTTTTTATATTCAATTTTTTGCAATTGTAAAAAAAGAAAATATATAATAATTTAATTATAATTCATATATGTATTAAAATATATGTTTCGAATAAATTTTCTTTAATTCATTAAATTAATAAGGCAATTTGTATCAGATTTTCAATATTTTATGTTATAGAAAATATAATAGAATAATATAACAGTTTTAATCTAATAATTTACGTTTAATTTGACATGAACCATATATAAATTCCAAATTGAGTATTATTCTTCTGTTTTCTACATTATAATATTGTAAATCTTAATTATGCATATTAATTTTTTTCTTTGGAAAATATTTGCATAGAAGATAGATAAAGCAAATTATTTTAGTTCTAAAGTTAAGTTAATGGCCACTTTGATATTAATTTTTTTTTCTTTTTCGTTTGCAGCAGAGCATTCGTTTTAATTAAGGCAAAAAGTTAAGCGCATATCTTTTATTCGAAATTTATATATTAATTATTTATTTCAATATCTTTTGATTTCTGTTGGCGAAAAACTTAAATCTAGTTTGTTTTTCATTCCATTACAATTTTAGACAACATTTAAATATTATTCATATATAGGTTATGTAATATAGCGAGATATTTTTAAATTCGCATTTGAACATTCATTAAATTTTGAGCATTTTACATCAAAAATTAAAAAAAAAATAAAAAAATCTTTTTCGAAACAAGCAAAGTACTACGCCGCAATTATTGTTTTTGTTTTAAAATGAATTTTGTTAAGTGGAATATTTTGCATTTCAAAGCAAAATTTTTATATAATTTTTATTTTATATTATGTTTAATGTATTATATATGTGTATTATAAATATATATAAAAAATGTGTATAAGTATTTGTTTTTAATATAATTTTACTGTTATTCTAGAAGAATGTTTTCATTTTTATAAGCTATAAATATTTGAAGTAATTAAATGAATAATAAATTATTACTATTATCTATTACATAAGAGATAATAATAAAAATTTGCGATTTTTGTATATTATTTCGCATTTTATTCATTTAATTTTACTTTTGCATATTCCTTTATTTTATTTCATATTATATTACCTCTCCTCCTGGGAGGCCAACAGAGACAATGTCTCCTTTGGTAGCCTTAATTTCACCTAATAGGTAGCCTTCTTTTTCGTCTGGTACCCAACATGATTTCTTTGAATCGTAAGGCTTAGATTGATCAATTCTTCTCTGTTCCAAAGAGACGAAAAGATATGGGGTTGGGTCAGCATCTTCGTCTTGTGGTTGTGGTTTAGGCATATTGTGTTTTCAATTAAATATATTCGAGAGGGCTACAGACAGGTCAATTAATATTTCTTATTTTATTTTTAAAGCCCGAAATAGCTTCCCTAAAAATGTTAAAAAAAATAAATAAAAATTATTATTTTTATTGCTATTAAGTTTGTTTTTTATTTGAATATTCTGGAATTTATTTTACTAAAATTAAAAAATTAAAAAAGGAAAATTAAGCAAAAAAAAAATAAAATTTAAAATAAAAAAAAAATAATTTTTTAGATTTTCAAAAAAATTTTTTTTTTTAAACCACAGAATTTTAGTTTTTTTTTGCTTTTCTTTTAATTTTTTTTATTGCGATCTATTTTTGGTACGATTTAAATTTTTTTTGTTTTTAAAGTGTAACTAGATATTTTTAAATTCTTTTTTTTTCCTTCCTTTGATTTTTTTTTTAATTTTCATATGTGAACATATAAGTGATATTGTGTGTGTATTAGTCAACATATTTCAATTCTTAATTTGAAAATTTCTAATTATTAATGTGTATGTTTGTTCCACTATTACAGTTTGTTGCAGTTGAACGCTTGTATATGTTTCCAATATTAGAAGAGAAAGTATATACTAAATATGTGTGTAAAGGAAATATTTCGATGGTAAAAATAGAAAATTATTTCAAATACTAAAAATTTTCATAAAGTAATAAAAAAGCACATAAGGAACACTTTATTTTGTATTATATATGAATACAAAAATATATAAGTATTAATACAATGTACAAATTCGTATCAAATATTTTTTTTTTAAATTCCAAAATTTAAATTTTAAAAATGATCACTTAATTTAATATTTAATTTTATTTTGTGGTTTAATTGTTCAGTTTTTATTTGTTCTATTTCAATCAATTGCGATTATTATGAGTCAAATCAAAGTGATTATCAAAGTTCATATAATATAATGGAACGAAATAGTTGTTATGCAACAAAATTAAATTTGGTAAAAATAAAAAATATAGAAAAAAAATAAATATTTGTGATTTAAATTTAATTTCTATACTTTTTTGTATTTATTTTTTTTTTATTTTTTAAAATTTTTAAAACAGTCCGTTCTTTTTACAAAAAAAAACAATATCAGTATTTATTAATTAAATTTGAATTTATTTTATTTATATTAAAATCTTAATCACTTTTAAAGTATAATTAAAAAAAAGTTAATTATAAATTTTAAATTATTTTTCTTTTTTCCTTTTATTGCAATTCTTTCTCAAAATATTAATCCATTAATTGAACCCAGAAAATTAATCCTTATTGATTTTTTTAATTTTCTTTTTTTTTCTTTTTTTTTGTTTAATTTTTTTTGTTCATTAAAAATTTTAATGTTCACTTTTATTGAATGTATAGCTGAAGTAGGTGGGTGAAGTTTTAATCCACTCTTTCGTACCAAAAATGATTTGAAATATTTTTTTAATTTTTTTTTCGTTATTTTTAGACAAAAAATGTATATGCGAAAACAAGCATCACTTACGCGTTCGAGAGCCGTTCTGAACAACAGAACCGGTAATGTTCCTTTTTATATGGCGCAATTTGATACCATTCGTTTCAACGAAATTTAGTTATACGTTCGGGTGGATAAACTCTCGTTCCCCGGGTTGGGCTCCCTTTTTAGGTACACACAATGAAAGTATTTAATATATGTGAAAGCATTCGGGTTTTTTAAATGTATTAAATGTAGATTCGTGTAATACAAAGATAAAATTTGTTTTATTTTCTTATTTTTCTTTTTTTTTTCTATTTCAATATTAGAATTCAGGATGATGATATTGATGATAATGATGTCGATATTCAGTAAAAATAAAAAAAAATTAAAACTAAAAAGAAAAATAATGTGCACGTGTGTGTATGTGTCTTATGTTTGCCAGTAAATTGAAAATAAAGTAAAAATTTCCTTGAAGATTTTGATGTTTTGCTATTCAATTCTAAAGAAATAGAGAGTGATGCCAGATAAAATTTTGAAAATTAATGAAAAAAAAATTTTTTTTGAATTATGATTCTTTTCAATTATTTTTAAATAGCTATTAGTTAATATTTTTTAATATTTGAACCAACAAATGTGTTGAAAATACAAATTGCATAAAAATAGGGTAATTAATTTTTGTTAGGTATTTTAATTTTCATTATTAAATGAAAATTAAATTAAGTTTCATAAATGTTTCTTCAAAATTCTCATATACTAACAGAAATTAATATATTAAACAGAAACTATTATTAAACAAATTTAATTACTATTTTAAATTTGTAGACTACTGTAAGTAATATAAAACAAAGTAAAGAAATAAAATACAAAAATGAATAAAAAATATAAATATTAATATTAATATAGCTAGCTAATTTTTATATAACTTCTTGTTAGCTACTATTTGTTATTATAAAACAAAAAATGCCTTAACCATAAATTGAACTAAAATAAAATTAAAAAAATGAAGCTTTAGCTAAATAATTATCCAAAGCAGTTGCCTAGAAATGTTTCATAATAGCTTCAAGATTATTTTACTATTTACGTATAGTTTACAATCAAACACCCAAAAGTTTCTCATTGATAATGGGTTTTTGATATGTGGGCCATATGGCGGGGGCAAAATTTTGGAGGAAGAGCATTAATATTGTAAGATGCAATAACCTTAGTTAATCTTTAAATATAATAGTGCATTTTCTGATAACAAAATATGTATCCATACCTGTTTGTTTCAGTTTCATAGAAGTATGGTGAAGCTTATATCTTCAATGAAATGAGATCATTTTGAGAGGTGTTAGGTAACCAGGGAAATCATGTATTAATGCCTATTTATTCGTCATATAATATTCAGCTTTTACCTATTAATTAAAATAAAAGAATAAATTCGATTTTAACCAATATTTTATAGAGTAGCAATGTTTTATAGAGTTTCTCTTGAACTAATCAAAATACATTTTTCAAAAAGCAATTTTCTACTTAAGTTATTGTCATTTAAGTACTAAGATTATATTATGAAAAAACCTGATTTTCTTGCATATATTTAGGATAAAAAAAATAAAAAAAATTTTCTTAATTAGGTGAGTTAATATAACTGAATTTGATGAAAGAAATTTGTTATTATAAGGTGCGAAAATTGGAAGAAGGGGAAGGTTGTTTGAAAATTGGAAGAAGGGGAATAAGTTTTGTTCCAAAATAGGAAATGTTTCATAACGTTCTTTGTACATAAAGTACAACACGTTAAAACGTTCTTGTACATAAAGTACAAGATTTCTTCAAATCGATTAAAGAAAACTCTTGATTTCAACGGCCATTTTCCTATTATGACGTTTCTCTATGCTTTTTAACGGCGGCAGAAGCAAAAACACTCTCTTTAAAATGTAATTTTCGTTCTGATGCAGACATTTTAGAGATTTGCAAGGAATGTTACTTTCAGCGATGAAGAGGAAAGTAAAAATATTTTACTCTGAAGGAATAAGTAAAATTTGGAGTGTAAATTTCTTTTTCTTTGTTCTAAAACATAAAAAGAATAACAAAATTTTAAGAAAAGGTTTAAGAAAATAATAAGTTGTTTTAACAACATTTTTAAAATCTGAATTTTTAAGAATAATTTTACTTAACAACAAAATATAAAGGCATGCTTTCTGTACATGTTTTCTGTTAACATAGTACAAGAAGTGTTCCAAATAGTTTTATAACTATGTTATGGCAACAATTTTAAAAATTTAATTTATATAAAATCCAATCGCCCAGTTTTAAATGAAAAATCATTTTATTATAATAAGCAAAATTAAAGTATAAACATTATATGTATATAATTTAATATTATATTAAAAGAATATATTACTAAATTTAAAAATGTATGTAGGATACGAATTAAAACAGCACCATTATATACATATTATTATATCTATAAATAAATAAAATTTCATTTTGTAAAGGTGTATTATATTTTAAATTAAGAAACAAAATAACAAAATATTTATGTTTCTTATAGAAGCAAAAGTGTATAATGTGGCAAAAGATTTTTAAATACTTTCTCGCAATTTTTTCAAAGTTATTTAAAATTCTCTTTTTTTTAGTATTTTATGCATACGTGAAGGTGTTCTTATAAAATATTTATATATAATGTTCAAACATATAATACATATGTGCACATATATTGCATACATAAAAATTAAATAAGAAATATAGTTAATTCATCTCTTCTGTAAGGTATAATGAGTTAGGATTGTTTTCTATTTTGTCTGTCTTTTTTTTCATTTTGTTTCTGTTCGTATGGATTTTTGGTATCCAAAATTAGTTCAATTGTAAAATTAAAGAATTCAAACATTCGCATTATTTTCGTTTCCGACACACCATACAAACGAAAAAAAAACAGAAAAACAAAAAAAATAACGCAAGACAAAAAAAGAAAAACCACCGACGACGTCACCCATGGTTAATGTTCTGTTTATTTTTAGATGAAGAAAAAAAAATACGAGCACGAGATTTGCGGACTAAAATTGCTAAACAATTTATTTAACATTTTTTTTTATTCTGTATTTCAGTATTTTTTAAAACAAATATTTAAAAAAGTTAAAAGAAAAAATAAAAATTTTTAGCTTTTATTTTAAATATATAATTTTGCTAGTGTATGTGTATTTTCTTAAATATGTGTATATATAGAATTTTATGTGTATGTATATTTGTCTTTTCAATATGAAGTATGACTATGACTTTTAGTTTTTCTATATGATGTGAGGATTATTTCTAACCTTTTAGTGTTGGGCGAAATTCGGTTCTGAGAGCAAAATGATTGTGACTTCAGATTTCCACTAAATATTTGCAAATAAAATTCTGTAGAATAAGTAATAGGAAAAAACAAAATATGAAAAGAAAAATAACAGAACGAAAAAATGTTATTTGAATATTTTTTAATAAATTTCACAGTTTTTTTTATATAAATTGAATTAATTTTTTATTTTATATTGTGTATAAACATATTGTATATGTATATATGTATATGTTGAACATTTATTGACAAATTTTCATTAAAAGACCAAACAACTTTTTAAAATTCCCTAAAGAATATTTGTTTTTTTTTTTTATTTGCTTCTGCTTTCTTTTTGCAGCACTCTGTCATATGTTTTTATACATGTACCAAAATCCTCACAGTATTTTATAAACACATAATAAATTCAAATTCGTATATTATATTATTACCTATATAATGTGATAAAGGTACAAAATTAAATATTACATGAAATTGTACGTTATATATTATTATTATTAATGGCTATTACATGAAATTGTTGTAATTTACTATACAATTGTAATATAATTTTTATATTACAAATAGTCATAATAAAATTATATACAATAAAATTATTTGTAATTTTTCTACACTGTTTCGTTAATTCGGAAATTTTTCAAGTATCATTTTACAGGCGCTTTGGCAACATCATACATTGGCAAAACCGAACTTCAAATTTATCTATAACCAGACTCCTTTTTGAAGTTGTGTGAAAATACCAAAACAACACCCATTTTCAGGCATATTAAAATTAACTATATAACACTGCTTTCTTTTTAATAAACCCTTTGACGTTTTTCCTTGCAAGTTATATATTTTTTTTTTCTTGGCATATTCATATACATATATTATTGTGGTATACACACAAATCTTTACATATTTTTCTTATTTTTTACATATTTTTGTATTTGAATTTATAATTATATATAAGTATATAATAAATATATACTTATAATTTAATTTATTGGGTCATTAATTTCAAAATAACATAAATTGTAAAAGATGATTCCGGTGCTATATATATAATATTATATAAACATTCTATACCCTACTGTATATATATCTGCAGATGCACATCAATAAAATACAAAAACAATAGGTTATTGATACCGGAAAATTCTTTGCAATGCCTTATTTTATTAAAAATATTTATGAAATGAAAAAATTAATCGATTTATAAAACTTTGGTTTACATAGAGCAACTTTAGGAAAAATTTTAATGTAGATTGCGATATTTAATTCTAGCATTTTAGTTCATTAAATGAGTGAAAATTCTGTAATGTTTATATCTGTCTATTAGAGATGACCATGAAAGTAAATAAGACTTTTAACATTTTACATTTTTACCTTTACCTTTACCCTGGTCAATATAACCTTAACATTTATGCTAAAAATATCTAAACCTTAACATAATATAGAAGATAAAAAATAATACAAAGAAACAAAAAAAAACTTTTAACTGCACAAAATATTTAACAAGTTTGAATTTTAATTTTAAACTTTTAATTGAAGATAACTTCGAAGATAATTTTGATTTTAAGATAATCCAGTATACTGTAGGCATTTAAAAATACATATGTACATACATATATTTAAAATTATTCATCTATACTACTTTTCATTTGCATTTGTTTTGCATTTTATATTTGATTTAGATATTGGTTGTTTTCATATGTGATTTTTTGTTTGTACATAGGTTTTGTACATGTTCACATTTATTAAAAACAAAATAATTTCTA